GCCTTCCTTATCTGGATGCCAGCCTGGAAGCTTTCTGTCTTCTCGAGTCTGCTCCAGAATTGCTATTCCTAGAAGACAGCCCTTTCTTTGTCCCTGACTAAAAGCTGGAGGTGTGTCACAGAGCCTTTCCCCTTTTGAACCCTAATTTTCAACTTGAGCTTCCCAACCCCACAGTCACTGCCCTCTACAAACAGACCTTAAAGACAATGTCTGAAGAGGAAAAAATAATGAAGCCATGTATTACTTCACTTCTCTGCAAGATCTCGGTCCCCTCAAGTCTTCACTGCCTTGGCAGCTTTTCTGTGCCTTTAAACAGATTTATGACACATTTTATGCACCTTTTTTAGGTCCTTGATGATGTGTTGTTCTGATACAAACCAGTCTATCTTAGCCAGAAAGAAGTCTAGATGAGACAATGAAATTAGCTCTTTCAGATCACTAACCAAGTATGTTAAGCCACGCGGAGCACCTTGTAATAACAACTAATGTAACTTTCACAGCATGGCATGATGACTAGTATTGCCCCATTTTATAGAGGAAGCTACTGAGCACAGAAAGATTAAACTTACCCAAGACCACTAGGTGGCAGTGGTGGAGTCAGGATTTGAAACCCAGAGTCCTGACCCAATAACCTGAGCTCTCAGCCTACCCCAGGGCCAGATTTGTTAATGCCTGTTGAATGACTAAAGCAAGGAGTAGTCAGCTTTCCTCAAGCCTGAAGACAACCTCCTGTAATGAGCACTTGCACAGCTGAAATGTCAACAGAAGATGGGGTGTGTTTTGTGTGTTTTCAAAGATGGCAAACTCTACTTAGCTCCTTCCTCCACTAGCACAAAAGCAAATACTTGCCCATAGGCAGAGCTTCCAAGTGCTAAGTGCCAACAGGGATCCTCATCTGCTTCTGGAAAGCAGAGCTGACCTGGAAGACAAAACCATTCCAAGTCTCCATCCCAAGCAGAGAAAGCACTAAGGGCAGATGGCTACTGGATTTATTCCGGAAGTTGCCTCTGCCCTGGTTCATTGGGCCCTGGGCTGCACAGGGATGAGGTGTGGAAATCTTTCCGCTGTTGCATGTCAATTTCCCTTTGATGGTCTGGGGTCCATCAGTTGGAGCTGTGGCAATGTCAGATACTGGTTTGTTTGGGGTGCTCTGGCCTGCTCTGTTGCAGGGTGTCATTGGGGCTATTCATGCTATCTTTTTCATTCTCTTGCCTTTCTGAACAGGTTAAGACTGCATTTCATGGCTAATTTGTGATTAGTTTGGAACCATGTGCCTAGTTCTGGCCAATGAGTTGTAACATGCATCATTCCAAGCTCGAGCATTTGATTTTGGAAGCAGGACTGTCCAAGTTGATGCTATTGTTACCCCAAGGTCACAGAAATGGTGATAGTATGTAGCAGAGCTGGGGTTGGGACCTAGGCTGCGTGTCTTCCAAATCTGTGTTCTTCCCCCATGCTCCATGGTGCCTCTCGTTGCAACATTAGGTCAGGGGACCTGGGGCCATCCTGGAATCCTCTACAAAGTCTCAGTGCTGCCTCAATCTGGTTTTCTATCTCCTAAGTCTATGTCTGGCCTGCTAAGCCCAGTGGAGGAAAAGAAAACCACCAGTAGCTTGTCTCGGCCTTCAGGCTGGGGACCTGATGGTAGTGATGGGGGGAGGGGTGGCTTGTCCTTCCTAGTCAGTGCTCCAGGGCCCTTCATTGCCCCTGCCCCCTAGAGGCACTCAAATCCCTCTTGTCTGAGAACAAAACCCTCCTTCAACACCATGCCCTCCTCCAGCTAACATATTTCCCTTCTTTAAAGCCCTGTGGACCTCCCTGCTTTACCTTCCTTGCAAGAGTCAACCCACTCCAGTCTGATTTCTGCCCCCACCATGTCAGACTCTCTCCCTAAGGCCACCAGCACCTCCTTGTTGGCAGGATTCCATGGGTGCTGTTCAGTCCTCGGCTAACTTCACCAACCCACAGCCTTGACTCTGAACCTTCCCTCCTGGAAACATTCTCCTCCTCTTGGAAACTTAAACTTCATCTTCTCCCACAAAGCCCAGTCTCCCAGCCAGAACCTGGAGCTCCTTGTTCCTCTTCCCTCAGGTTTTCTTCCACACATTTCCTATCCAACTACCTCCAAGCTCTGCAGAGTTTTCCCTCTGAGCCTCTAGAATCCATCCCTTCTTCCTTCTTAGTGATCTCGCTGGCTCCCACTTGGTCCCCTTCAGCTGGTTAAATCCCTCCTGGGCTCTCACTGCTGTGTCCCAGCCTGGCTTCTTCAGATCCTCTTTGATTTTGCTCAAGGGGAGCTGAATTCATGCTGCTCTGTGTGTCTGAACATGCATGCGCTTGACCTTTACCTGCCAAGTTCAGGGTGCAGCTGGGCTCATTTTCTTCGGGGAGCCTTCCTTAACTCCCAAATCAGCTCAATGGCGCCTGTGTCCAGGTCTGGTGCCCCAGTGATCGTCCTTCAGGACCAGGGCTCTGTCACCTTTTTGCTGCTGTCTCCACTGTGCAGAGCCTGCCTCCCCCTAGGCACCTGGGACCCCTGGTTAAACAAAAGGGAGGTGCTGGTCAGAGGGGCTCCCATATGTCTCCTACTTTCCTGGCTTCATCTGTCTCTGTCACAGTTGCTCTGTGCTGCTCTGATTCCCTCTTCATGTTGGGCCTTGGGAGGGTGCAGTGGGCAGGCAGGTGGGGACTGGAGGTGGAGTCTAGGGGAGGTTCTCCCTGAATTAAGGAGGATGGGGGGGTCAGGATAGAGCAGGGGGCCCTAGACACTTCTCCTGCCCTGGGGCTTTGGGATCTATGGAGTGTCTCCTCCAGTCCTTATGGCATTCAGGGGGATGCTCACCTCATCTCATCTCCTTGCTTTCTCTGTGATCTTCCCCCCCAACTCCAATGGCTCTGTCTTGCCTGAGCAGGTCTGGAGGACACTTCTCTGCGTTCCTGCCCAGGCTGACCTCTAAGCACTGGCCAGGGGGCCAGTGGGAGCGCAGGGCAGGGTGGGGGGGGCAGGATGGGGTGGGGTAGGATAGGGGAGTAGGGCACAGGGTTGGGTTAGGGGCGCCAGCAAAAGCTTGCCCCCCTCACTCACCAGCCTGGTGGCTTGGAGATCCCCAGTTGGGGTTCCGCTGGTGGAAGGGTGCGCTTCAGGCAGGCAGGTGGTAAGAGACAGCGACCGATCAACTGGGGCTCTGGCACCCAACAACCGCCCGCCCGGGCAACAACCGGGAAGAAACCAAAAGGCCGGCCGGGCCCCGAAAGGGGGGGCCCCTCTCGCTCAGCTCCGCGCGCGTTAGTCCCTGGCTCCCCTTTGACCCCAGGAGCAGCGTTGGCAGGGACTAGGCTCCCCCCTAGGCTCCGCTCCTCCTTCTCCCCTTCTCTGGGTACCGCGTATTCCAGGCTCCTGGCACTGAACTCGCCGCCTAGGTGGCCTCAGTCTGGACTTTCCGAGTTCAGGATGGGTGCTTTGCCGCGCTCTAGAGCGCGCGGGTCTGGGTGTTTTTACTGGCTCTCTCTTCTGCCTCAGAAGGATCCCCACCTTCCCAGGAGGGGCGGGGGAGGTGGACCTGGGGCGGGGGAGGTTTCCCCAGGGCTGGGGCTTGCTTTCAGCACCCCTGCCCCAACCAGCCTCCACCAATCCTGCCCCAGAAAGGGGTGTGGCCAAAAGCCCGGTCCGGAGACCACTGGAAATCCTGGGGGGATTCCTGGGACCTGCTGCGGGAGCGGATCGGAAAGGAGAAAAGGCTGGCACGGAGCCCACCCCTAGCTGGACTGTTAGAGGACCGGGTGGAGTGGGAGGTACTGACTTCCCCGAACCTTGGAGAAGAGTCTCCTTCGACCTCAGTCTTCATTGGTTCCTTATCCACTCACCCATTCACAAACTCCTGATATGAACCATTGCCTGGAAGCCTTCACCCTGAAGGCTTGAAGAAGGCTCACTCATCCTCTCTCGGCAGATGCAAAGAGGAGGCTCGGGGCTGCAGCTCTGTGCGCAGGAGGGAGGGGGAGGGGGAAGGAGAGAGGGGGAGGGGCAAACGGGGAAGAGTCTATGCTTGGTTACTCCTGCAGCTTGGCCCCCCAGGAATGTGACTTGTAGGGCGCCCAGCCTGACCAGAGCTCCCCACTTTAGGTCACAGGTGTGTTTCCAGCACTCAGGCCCCCTGGTGAGCAGAGCATAGCTGACGTCAGAACAGCACGGACAGAGCTGGTTTCATTTATTGAACAGACAACTGAAAGAGCAGATCTGGTGACCAGGCCCGGTTCATGCCCCTCCCAAGCTGAAATATTGACCGGTTCTGGTTCTGGAGCTGCTTATCTTAGCGGTCACTTCAACCCAACAGGGAATTACTAGGATGGGGAGGCCGATTTCCCTCAGGCTGGAGGAAACCAAAGTCCCCACAACTGGCCCACACTTTTGAAACGGAGCCCCACAGTGGAGGTCTGTCCACTGTGGTCCACTGTAGTTCCTGGGTCTGTGCAGAGGACACAGCGTTAGGGCCTGCGGTGGGGCTCCCCAGCTCTCCCTGTGGGCTCGGCGAGTCCCATATGGACAGTGAGTGGTCTCTCCCACTTTTTCTTTGGTTTGTTTTGGTCATCCACAGGCACCTTCCGCGAACCTGCCCTCCACCTCCACTCTTGACTGCAGAACATAGTCAAGGCTCACTAGCGTGGTGTAGCTGTGGTGGCGGGCAGCACAGGGAAGTCAAAGCGACTTCTGAGGAGAGGCGTGTCAGCACGGCTGCCTGGGTCAGGCCACGTGGAGCAGATGCACGAGGTGGGATGCTTCCTGCACACCAGATGCACCAGGCCAGGACCTCCCTGCCCCAGCCTGTAGGTATGTAGGGCCTTGAAGTGTCTGTCCAGGGCAAGTCTGTGGAAGTGCTCCCCTGATAAATTCAAGTCTTTAGCATTTATTGAACACTTACTATGTGCCCTGATGGTGCCCAGAACGGAAAAAAAGCAACCACACACCAAGCTTAAATAGGATTGTTTATTTGTTTTGTGACAAAGATAACTTCGACCTTCCTAGAGGATTAAGACACAGGGGGCAGCAGAAGAGGAAGAGAAGGGTCATGCGGGTAGGATGGAACTGGCCTGTCAAGGCAGAGAGTCTTGCTAGGCAGACAGGGAGGGCGCTTCTCGACACTTGAGACTGATTGTTCAGGAACCATGAGTGGGTTGGGAAGAAAAGGGAAAGCTGAGGTCTCCCCTGGAGCCAGATCACAAAAAGCCTGGAATGGTGGAGTCAAACAGCGGGTGTCTCAGCAGTGCTCTGCCCAGGAGTCAGCCTCTCCGGGAAGCCTCCAGGCCCACGCCTCACCTGGGCTCCTGTCATGGCAGTGACCATTTTGTCTGCCTGGGGACCAGGAATCCTTCAAGGCTGTGTCCCTGTCTGGTTCTCTGCCTGAGGAGTTGCTGTTATTTTTGATATTCTGAGAAGTTTTTGATGTGAAAAAGAATCTGCTCCCATTCCTCTGCACAGCTGGTAAGTTCTGGAGACCAAGATCCCGGTCTTGGGGACTAAGGGCCTCAACTAGAGCTCTTCGTATGGTTCCTGTGGGCCCACGCTTCACTTCTCTAGCAAGGCTGAAGCAAGGGACGGGACCCCTAAGCCCAGATTCTAGAGAAAGTAGTCAGTAGATAAAAAAAGGGAAGTGGAGTTGCAATCCAGAAAGAAAACCCAGGTCAAGAAACAAGGTGTTCCCCACGAGGGACCTTCAGTGACACCTTGCTTCAGGCCAGGGCTGAGCCACACGGAATCCATTTCCAGAGCCTTGGTCCCTGCGAATGTGGGGCTGGTGTCTCCAAGGCCTGGCTCACCTCTGGTCTGGACCCCAGGAGGTGCTGGGATGAGGGTGGTGGGCTGGGAGGACAGGGCAGGGCAGACCCTTATACCTCAGCCCTCCCCAGCGCCCCGGCCTCCTGGCTTCAGCTTCTCCAGGGTCCTGCTCACGGTGGACAGGCTGCTGCGGGCTCCTGTGGGGATGACCAGGAGGGGGCTGTCTGAGGTGATGAATCAGGGACTCAGAGCAAACCAGAGGGGTCCAAGAAGAATGGAATAAGGAGGGGGAGCCCCGGGGGTAGTTGCCAAGGCAAAGGTGGTCAAAATGGCCCCTCAAAAGGACAGGCGTGTAGTGTGGGGCTTGGAGACTGGACTCGGGGGCTGACTGCCTGCTTTCAGTTCTGGCCCCACCACTTCTAGCTGTCACTGAATCTCCCTGTGCCTCAGTTGCCCCAGGAATTGGGACAAATTATTGTACCTCCCTCATATGGTTGTGCAGAGAAGGAACAAATTAGTTAATATTTGCAAAGTGCTTAGAACAGTGTCTGGAATGCAACCTGTTGCTCAGTCTGAGCCATCTGACCACTGGCAGCAGACGCTGGGTCTGGCCACCTTTGAGAAACTCCTGCCCTAGACCCTTCCTGTGGAAGCCTGGGGGAGTAAGATGCTCAGTTTCAGGAGCCAGCTTTGTGAGCTGGATTCCACCATGGGAATGGAGTGTGAGAAGATGAACTGGGCCGTGGAACTAGGGAATGGGAAGGGCAGTGAATGGCCTGTCTGGTGTGCACACTGGACACCAGAGTGAAGCCCCAGGGACAAACAGCTCTGCTTGGCTTGGAGCTTGGCTTGGAAACGAGGGAGGACTACCAACTTTGCTGGCTCCCTGTGGTGGGAAGCCCCTGAGAGTCCCTTGAGCCCCCCCCCCCACCCCCCAGGCTTCTTCCTGGGCCCCATAAAGCTGCTGAGTCAGAGAGGGAAGATGGAAGATGTGTTCTGGAATTTCTGGAACTTACCCTCCTTATTGCCATTTGTGCTGGATCTTCCCTCCCCATGGTCTGGCCCCTGATGGGGATGGATCCTCAGGCTCCCTGCAGGATGAGACCCCCCCACCCCAAGCCCTTTGATTACCAAGTCATTCCCAAGTCCAGCTCTGGGAAGGAAAGTCCTCCCTCTGCCTAATCTAGTCTCCACCCTTGCTGCTATCTTTTCTCTTTAGGCCCCATGAAGAAGAAATGAGGCCTTGAAGGAAAAAATGGTAGATTTTAAAAAAATGAGGTGGGGGTTCTGGGGAGAACTGGGATATAATAAAGCTGCACTGGATGGCTAGAGATGGGGGTGTGTATGAAGGAAACTAAGATGAGGTGCAGACTTGTACAGAAGGGGAGACAGAGGGTCTTCATGGAGACTCAGAGATGAAGTGGGGTTATTTGAATATCTTGAAGGTTGTGGGGGAGAGGGAGCTCAGAGCAGGCACCTCTTAGGGGAGATGGGAGCTCAGAGCAGGCACCTTTGTGGTGACAGGCAGCAGGTAGTAGCGGCTGCTCTGTTGTCATGGCAACGCCTGCAGGCCCGTGTGTGAATGTGTGTGTGTGCATGTGAGTGTGTGTGTGTGCACACAGAACCAGGAGCAGTTGTGCACATGCGCCCAGCTCCACTGCCCCTGGGGTCTCCCACAGGCCCTGGCAGGGCGGGAGAGGACTCACCTATTGCAGGCAGGATGTGGTCCAGGTTGAACCGAGCCTTCAGGAAGGGGTAGGCCAACATAAGGAGCCCTGAAGAGAGACAGGGGTTCTATGGTGGGGAGGGCCCTGGCTAGGACCAGCTGAATGAAACTGTGGGTGTGCTGCAAGGAGGAGGCAGTTTATGAGGGCTCATGGGGGCAGCAGGGGTGGACAGGGCTGCAGTGTGGGTGCAAATGTGAACCTGAGAGCAGGTGTGCAGAAGTAGCTCCCCAAAGCCCAGTGCCAGGAGCCCAGGTGGCAATCAGTGTCTATCTGGGAAAGCGGCTAGAGGCTGCCAAGGCCCAGACTTGGGCTCCCCACGCCCAGGGACCAGCAAGTCAGCTTCCTCCTCAGCTGGCTGCGGTGGGTCCAGTCGACAGCACCACCACCACCTCTCCCTTGCTCCACCCTCCCCGGCATCCCCCGGGGCTCCTGGCAGGCATGCCCCTTCCACAGGCTTGGAGAGAGGGAGTCAGGGCAGACCCTGCCCTGCCCACTCCCGCTTCAGCCCAGACCAAGCCTCTGTGGCCTTGGCCGGAGTTCCCAAGGCAGATGCCCAGAGCCCCAGGCTGCTGCTTTGGGGTCTGCTTTTGACTGGGGTGAGGGATGGTCCTTGGCTTCACAGGGGGTTAACAGTGGGACTGGCTCAGAAGCTGCTGAGATACACCAGGAATGAAAGGAAACCTGTCTGAGCTGGCAGTGCCTTGGCGGAAGGAGCACGCAGCTGGGGACCTCTTTCTTAACCCCACCCACTCACCCCCCCGGGAGCTTATGCCTCCCACCATGAACCCGAGAACCGGGGTCTTGGGACTGGAGAGTGTTGGGGGGGACATTCAGAGAGGAGCAGGATAACAGCCACCTCCTCCACTCCTCCATTTCCCACCCCCAGAAGCCATGAGGGGACCACGCCCGGGCCCCCACCCCTCCCCGTGCCCTCCCACTCACCTCCCAGCCCATTCCTGTGGACCCAGCCTGTCCCTCCATGTCTTGTTCACCTGACGGTGCCCTGCTCCCTCTCCAAGCCCAGCACCTGCTCACCCAGACCAGCGGCACCAATAAAGATACCACCCACGGCAGCGGTGGCTTTGGACACGGAGACGCCGATGATGATGCTGCCGGCCACCAGGCTGAGGCCCACACAGGCCAGCTGCAGGCAGCGGAAGTCTCTGCTGCTGATGGGGATGTCCATGCAGCCTGCGGGCCACCGCCTCCAGCCGCCAGCCCTGGAAAGGCGGGAGGGCTCAGTCTTGCTGGATGACCCCTTGCTGAAGTTCTACCTTCAGACTGGGAGCTTCTAAGTGGATTCTTGCACTGGTACCCCTGGATTTGTCTGGAACCCCACCCCACAGCCCTCTAGTCAGCCCCCAGAAGCCCTGAACCAAGATCTCACTATTCCTCCAGGCCCTGCTCAGTATTTCTCCTCCCCTGCAGCGGGAGCCCTCACCTGGGGCTCCTTCCTGCCTACACCCTGCCTAGGCTGCCAGGTTCTCAAGAGCTGGGCCTGCCCCGCAGGGTCCTCCCCACCAGCCTCCTCTCAGGACAGCTTGGCCTAAGCTCCCTGCCCCACCTCCCTGGAACTGCTCAGCTGCCACTGAGCCTCGCCTATTAAAGTTTAAAGCATTGGGGCATGGTCCAGGGAACATGGTTCCTTGGTGATGCAGGCAGCCGGGAGGTGCTGGGTTATTCATGAGGCTGCAATGTGAGCCCCTGCTGGGTCCCAGGGGCCCAGATTCCACTGTTGGCTCCGAGGGCTGGTGGGGTGGAGGGGAGCCAGTGGCTTTGTGGAAGGAGACTCCAGGACTCCAGGCCCCGAGCTCAGGGTCTACAGTCCCCTCCCCAGGCGTACCTGGGCCTCCACTGGGGGACTTGGGGACAGAGGCGGGAGGAGGCCTGGACGAGGCCTGGGAAACAGGAACAGCGCGTGGGGCAGGAGGTGGGAGAGGTATCCCTCCAAGTCCAGTCTCCATCCCGCCCTGCCTGCCCCTCCCCACTCCCCCATCCCATCAACCTGTGGACTCTTGGGCAGGGCTGAAGGGTCCTACTGGAAGATGATGCCAAGGGAAGCCCTTCTCCGGTTGATCTGATGCTCACCTAGACCCCTTCTGGTGCCACTGCTGAGAAGTTGAGGACTTCCAGCTGTCCGGCTTCGTCAGTGGGGTGCAAGGGGGGCTGGTGGGGATGAACAGCGGTTGTAGGGGCATGTTGAGGAGGAAGGCTGGTTCAGATTAGAGGTTCAGGAGGAGGGATCAGCAGGGGCTGGGTGTTGGCAGCAGCGGCAGGCAGCTAGATCAGGTTGGTACATCGGGACCAGGACTGAGCTCCTTTGCCTGATGTACTCTCAGGGTCCACCCACTCACGCTGGGCAGCGGTGACCCAGCCCTGCTCAGCCCTGTCCCACCCCCAGTTCATCCTTGACCCCAGAATATGGCCCTAGCTCTAGCCCTTTGCTAGACAGGTGGGTCCAATTCCCAGGATTCCATCGCCAGCCGCACGCCTCCCGTCAGCACCCCTATCTTTCTCCACTGTATCGCAGGTGCCACAGCTGGACCTAGGCCTTCTGCTCCCCTCCCTCCACAGCCACCTCCTCTGGCCACCTCCACCTCCGCGGCCCCCTGCTGTACCTGCCTGGCCCCTGCTGTCTGGAGAACACCTCATCTCCAGCACGATTCTGCTCAGCCAGCTGCAACTCTGCCAAGATTCCTGGTGGCCCCTGAGTGGGTGAGCTGGCTACCGTGGCTGCCATGTCCCCATGCTGAGTGTCCACCGTCTGCCCTTGTTCCTGTCTTCCTGTCGCGGGTCATGGGCAGGTTCAGGAGTGACAGGACGCCAGGGCTAGAGGGGAGCTGGGCTAGGCTGCGGGACAGGGACAGAACACAGAGGCTTGGGCCAGCAAGAGAGGGCTGTGGGCTCCAGGGGGCTCTGGCCTTAGTAAGGGCCTTTCCTCGGGGATGGTGGGGGGGGCTAAGGCAAGCACGGCCCTTCAGCTCTGCCAGAGTGGGTGGGGGAAGCTGTGTAGAGAGAAGGCGTGTTGCCGTGGGCTGCGTTCCTGGTCCCAGTAAGAAGACTCAAGCTGGACACCCACCGGCACACGGCTGCCACCAACAGCCCTGTGCCTCCCACCCGGAGGAGGTCCGATTAGCCCTTCAATTAGGCATCAAATGACAGCCCGGGTCTCTGTCACACGTAATTGATCCCCCACTGACTAGTTTTAGAAGGAACCCTTGATATAATTGTCTCTGAAAATGTGTTCCTAACATCCGGAGGTCTGGCCATCGGGACACCCTCCCCGCTGCCTCCTGTCCCCGCTGGGTGCTGGTGCTGAAGGCGGGGCTGGCGATGGTGTCTCTCTCCTGTGACTTCCACATCGGCATCATCACAGGCTCTGGACCTCGCCTCCCACCTGCACCGTGGGGCCCGCACCGGCCCTGCCTACGCTCTCCTTGGCTCATCTGGTGACTGGGAATGGCAGAGACTGGAGTTGGGGAGGCTCGTGCAACTTGAGTGCCAGATTCCAGAACACTCCGATCTCCAAACTCTGGAGACCAAATTCTAAATTAGTTTTCTTTGACAGTGCAAATCCCTCAGGGCAGAGTCAGAGGAGAAAATATGGAGGAGAGACACATTAAATCATTATCAGCTACAGTTACAGACACACAGAACCAGCTCAGCCTGTCGTGAAGTGGGTGGGGAAACCGAGGCACAGGGAGGCCTTAGAGTCCCAGACAGAGCCTCCAGGTGAGCTGGAAAGTCCTCTAGCTCATCTCTGGTCCTGAATTTCTAAATTGTCTTATTTGAGGTGGGAGGAATTGGCAGCCACCTCCCCCCCCCCATCAAGAGGAGACATTGTGTTCAAAGAATCATTCCAGACTTCATCTTTTTGTTCACGACAGGAGAGTGTCATTAAAAACTACTCAGAACTTTTGTGATGCCTGCTCCTCCTTTGATTACAAATATAGAGAGGGAGGCTTGCCAATTCTTTCCTCAATGTAGGCTGTATCATTTCTGAAAAATAAAATACATGCTTGTCCTTGGGTGCTGCATTTATCCTAATAGGCGAGTGAATGAAAGGAACCCATCTGTGTGGGTGATGGCCGCTGGGAGCCCAAGGCACCAGAGCCTGACCCATACCCCCACCCAAACCTCAGAGCCCTCCTCCCTGAAGCCGGGCTCCCCACTCCTGAGCCAGGGTGTGGCTAGGCCCTGGTCACTGCCCAGCTGTCACTAAGTCTGTCTCTGGGGGAGGCCAGAGCTGGAAGGTACCTGCTAGGTGCTTTCCCTCCCAGAAGCACCAAGACCAAGGTGGGGGGTGGGGGTAGAGTGGGTGAAAAAGACTCAGCTTGGTTTAGTTCTGTTTATTTGCCTTGAGGGTTGAGGACCCTAGAAGAGCATGATTAATTCACTGATCCCCTGGGGCCAGGGCAGCTTTCCTGACTGTTCTGAAGCTGAAGTCCGGAAGCAGCTTCCAAGGCAACTGCTACCATGGCAACAAGGGTATCAGCTATGGGGGGGGGGTTTGCTCCTCACTCCCCTCCTGACTGAAACTGCCAGAGCAGTGAGCACAGGACCAAGGCACCCCTAGTTTTGCAGCTGGGCCTAGTGGGGGACAGTTGGCCAGCAGGTGGACCAGAGAGTCTTGTCCCCTGTGCCTGAGACCCTAAGGTGGCTCAGATAGGAGTCCTCAGAGTCCACAGGAACCAAAAGGGGCTGGGGCCAAGGTCCACTGACTGGACTTGAGGCAAGAGGCCAAAGGTCTGGGACATTCAGCCATGTGGACGAGCTCTCCCCTAAGGCGCAGCCCCAGCGTGAGCCTGGATGGGAACTGGGAACTGGTTGTCATGGTTCTAGGTCCCAGAGTCTCTCACAGTGTGTCTGCCGTTCCTGTCTCTGCCCAGCGGCCAGACACGCAGCCTCAGAAAGCCCAAGGTCACCTAGTGGACAGTGGCGGGACTAGGGCCCAACCAGGCTCATCTAGCACCATCGCTGGAGGACAGACTCTGGCCAGGAGGAGCTGAGCAGCCTTGAGCAGCGGGAGCCCACGAAGGGTGGAGGCCAGCCAGTCAGCAAAGTCCCTACCCATTTCCGCCCACACAAACCCTTTGTAGACAGAGGGCTCTGGGAGCCACAGAAGGGGAGCGCTCATCTCCATGACAGCAAGGAGCTGAGTAATTCTGCCCCAGGAGACAACAAAAAGCAACACAGCTAAGTTTACTGAGCACTCACTGTGTGTGCCTAGAACAGCTGGAGACACTTATTAACATTTTTACAACAGCACCAGAAGCATGGTGAGTCACTCAGACATCAAGTCTTAAAGTCCGCAGTGACAGAGCTGGGGTTTGAACGCAGGCCACTGGGCTCCATGATTCTCTGGGAAGAACTCTCTACCATCTTTAGGTATAGCACCCCCCAACCCCCCCTCCGCCCACACACTGTTTCTCCTCTCTCTGCTTGGTTCATATGTTAAAGGGATTAATAGTGCCTTCTTCATAGGACTGCTGTGAGAATTAATGCCAGTGAACTTTCCAGAGTGTACCTGTCACCTAGTAAGAATTAGTAAAGCCAAAGGAGGCACCAACGTGTTTCAAGCGGGGGGGCCTTGGGGCTTGTGAGCGGACTAGATGGGGGAGGGTGCAGCCTGAACAAAAGCAGAGGCAGAGAGTGGGGGCTTGTCCTGGCAGCTCTGGGAAGGCACATTCCTGCTGCCCCAGCTGGAGTCTACAGGGGAAAGAAACTCATAGCCTGGTTCTGGGTCCCAGGGGACCAGGAGATTTTGCATGAAAGACTCAGATTCCACAGGCACATTTTTCCAGCCCACCCCGCTCCAGACAGATAAAGGGAGGTGGGTAGTGAGGGTTACGGCAAAGGGAGGCTGGCTAACAAAGTATGCCATCGCCAGCAGGGAGGTGCTCCCGGTGGAGGAGAGTGGTGGCCCGCAGAGCCAGTGCTCCTGGTCCAGTCTGCCTGAGCTCTCCAGGGATAAAAGCTGCAGGGTGTGCCCAGTCTATGCCCTGTCGGACCTCTCTCCCCACCTCCTTGAGAGCTACTTGTAAAAGGCCCCCCCTCCCTCCCCCTCCCGGAGGCCACACCAGAGCACAGGGTATGTATGGATTCAAGGTGCTCTTCCTTGCAGGACCAGCAGGGTCTGGGCACACAGCAGCACCTCAGGGTGGGGACCGGGCAGGGTGTGTGTGTGTGTGGGGGGCATCTGTTGAAGCACTTTTTAAAGCTGGTCTGTGTGATGGTGCTGCACTGCCTTTTCTGTGGGAGGCTGATTCTCAGTCATCTCTGGGCCCTGACCCAGAATTGGAGATGGATAAATGTTTGATGAATTTCATTTCCTCCTCTAAAGAAGAAAAGCAGCGACAACAGAGCCATCCCCTTCACCTTGTTTTATGGATCCAGGGAGCTGCTACATTTAGCGTCCTCACAGGGCACCTTCTCCTTCCCCGGCTGCCTCAGCCCCTCTGGAAGGTCTGTCTCCTCCTCAGCTCTGCTGGTAAAGAAAGAAAGGACTGCCAGGGAGGGCAGAGTTAGAATCTAAAACAGTTTTATTAAAACAAGTGCACACTAGCATCACGGTGTTACACAAACTTGTGTGTGACTCATGCGGATTGGTTTTCTCCAGGCCACTCGGCAGGCCGCTGACCTGCACGGACGTGCTCTCCCTCTCCCTCCTGTTCGCTGGCAGCAGGAGCCACTGGCCTGGACCAGGCAGCCCGGCTGCCTCAGGTGTGGCCCTGCCTCAGGCAAGAGGCCTTGGGCGCCCTGGCAGGTCCCATCCTGCACACCAGTCCCAGGATACAGCAGAGGTGGCCTCTCAGCTGCTCATCATCTTAATAACTTAAAAACAGGGTAAGAGGGTTAAAACCCCAAAGCATGAACATTCAGGAAAGAAGAGTGAGCTGTTACATGCTCAGGAAAGTCTGTGGGCTTGCAGTGGGGGTTTAAAGTCTCATCTTGACTGGAAAAGCATAGTTTTAAAAACAAACAAACAGAAAAACACGAAGTAATACTGACTTTAGCAGCAATCCCAAACAAGGAAGAGGATGATAAATGAGGGATTCATTCTGGTCACGGCAAAGAAAGATTATGTGCTTCTCTGTGCCACAGACTGGAAGACTGATCTGGCTTCCGGAATGCAGATGCTCCCTGCCCTCACCTGAATTGAGGGTAGCTTTGCTCAGCAGAGGGGGAGGACATCCAGAGGACAGAGGAAGGTGGAGGAGAGACTGGGGAATCGGGGTGACAGCACAGAGAGGGAGGACGGGCTTCTCAAGCCCGGTTCCCTGAAGGCTGCAGGCACAGCCCACTGCCTCCAACACAGGCTCCATCTTGGATCTGCGGGGGAGGGGGTGGGTGAAGGGGGGGTGTGAGCTGGTGGGCAGGAGCCAGCGCAGACCAGACGACCCTGCTGCAGGCTATTATGCAAAGTGACAAGTGATTGCTTTCCTTTTCAAAGACAATCCCTTTGGAAAAGCCTTTTCCTGGAGGACTCTGGGCCTTTGTGGACAAAAAGGCCTAACTGCTGGTAAGGACCAGGTCCTTCTGGCTGCTCTGCAGACTTGGGCTACACAGTGTTCCAGAAGGGCAATGCCTGGACAGGCCTAGGGTCTGGAGGGTGTGAAGGAGTGTGCCAGAGGGCTGGGGCTGCTGGGCACAGTGACTGCCGTGTCTTCACTGCGACCTGCCTGGGCCAGGGCTCTCCGGCGGGCCAGGCGTGACTTCGAAGGAGGGGAAAGTTTCACAGAGCAGAGGCCTGCAGTCAGTGGCTCTGACTCCTCAGCCAGTTCATTCTCCTCGTGCTGAGATAGCTGGCGGTTAAGGGCGATGGCCTCGGCCGCAAAGAGAGTCAGGTCCATTGTGCTGCTGTTTCTGCAGGGGCAGGGCAAAAGCACAGGAGAGAGGGGACATGATCAGTGGGGTCAGCCCGGTCAGATCCTGACAGCACAGCAGCTGCTGCTTTTCACAGTCCCTCCAGGTTTGTCTGCAAAGTAGTTTTTCCATAGGGTTGACACTCACAGGGGCTGAAGGGGCTTTGAACCTCAAGGGCAGCTCCCCCGGCCTGGGATGACAGGCCAAACGCCCCCTTTTATTCCAGGCACCCTCCTCTGAGCTCCAGTGGCCTGCACGCAGGTCTGCCAGAGGAAGGGCCCTGGCATGAGAAACCCCCAGGCACAACCCGCCCTCACAGGAGGGTGCGGAGCAGGGGCTGGGTCTTCTGTGTGTCCTGAGAATCCAGCTCAGGGCCAGCGCGAAATAGGCATTTTGGACTCACTGAATACATGTTCTAAGGGGGACTGAAGTTTGGGGTCATAGGACATCCAGATGTGCAGCTCTAGAGAATTAGGTGGGAAATGAGCTGGGCAGAGGAACTCTGGCTCACATGAAATAGAGAAGATAAAGGTGGCAGGCTTCCCTGTGGAGAAACCGGCTGTGTGGTTGGTTCCCACAATGCTTTACCCTCGGCCCTTTGGGATTAGGGCAGCAAACGCTGGAAACACAGTCTAGTGTTAAAAGTCACCAGAGTCAAGCACATCTGGGTTCAAAGTTTAGCTCCTGAGACTCAGACTGGTGAGTGGCCTTGAGTGAGTTAGCTGGACCACTCTACATTCTGCTTTTCTCATCTCTAAGAGGGATACATGTGTCATGAGCACTCCAGGGGTAATGCATGTGAAGCCCTTGGCCCCACCTCTGGCACGTGGTCTTTGCCATACAGTGACCATTATTATTGTCTAGCAGAGTAGCCAGCGACTGCTCCCCACGGCTTATGTGGCCCTGATTCCTGTGGTTCACCAAGCCAGTGCAGAAGATAGCTCCAGTGTCAGTGCCCGCAGAGAGGCCTCTCTTTGGGCTGAAACTGCTGATTTATATAGTTAGGATTCAGGCGGCTATACCAAACAGCCCAAAGAGAGGCCTGAAGCGTACTGGAAGCAGGGGGGCCAGGCAAATAGAAGTGAAGCCAGGGAGAAAGAACCCTGCAACCCAGGGAGAAGACAAAGATAAGTGGGGAGGAGGGCAGGAAGCCCCTTGTGGAGGAGGGTCTCTGAACACAGGGATGTGCTCTCTGCCCCCCAGTGTGGCTGACAGCAGAAGGGTGAGTCAGAGCCAAAGAAAGCGAGTGCTGAGTATCGCAGCATTTACCTCTGGAGGACTTGCGGCGTGGGGAGTCCCCTTTCTGGAGCTTGCTAGAATGGGAAGGACAGATTGTGTGGGTCAGCAAGGATTCCTCTTCAAGAGCTGCCCCCTCCCAAGTTCGCACAGAGTGGGTAGAGGCCCTGGCCCAGCCCTGGCTCTTGCCACGTCTGCTCCCTGGTCAGGCCTTCCAAGGAGAGAGGGCGCAGGCACAGCCCCCAACCCAGCGGCCTCTGCCCGCAGAATCTCTCTTTGCCAGGCCCAGTCCTGATCTAAGAGCCAGCGCGAGGGTCACTTCCCCTGTGAAGTTCTATCCCTTCTTCCCTGCCAGCTCCCTAGACCCTGGCCCTTTGGGGTCACTTACTCCCTTGTCTCCTGGCCCTTTGGGGTCACTTACTCCCTTGTCTCCTTGGCCCTGTAGAGCATGAACACTGGGCAGGGTCTTAGTCTTCCTGTGTCTGGCATGTGGGTGGTGGGTGGTGCTCAGTAAAGACTCAGGGGCGGCTGGGAACGAGCCCTTTAGAGACTCTTGGATTGGGTTTCCACTGGGCCATAACACGCGGCAGGGCATGCTTGCTTTCTTCCACTGGCAGCCCCCCCGAGATAGCCAGGGCGGGGAGACACAATAATCACAGCAGGCCTGGCACAGCCCTGGAAAGGCTGAAGTCGGGGAAAGTGAGTAACCAAGGAGGGATGGTCACAATGTTTCCTAGTGGCGAGCTGGTGCTTTAGTTTGGGATAAATATATTTTGTCCTTCAGGAGCGATGTACCCAGAACCACAGGGTGAGAAGAGATGACAAGTCCCACCCAGCAAGCAGGGCATAAGGCTTTTGGATGTTGTCAGATGATGCTATTTTTCGATGAGGAGGTGGCCCCAAGGCCCCACATATTGAAGCCAAGCTGTTTCCTGGGCTGTGTGTCTCCTACCAAAAGTAGGATGTCTGTGCCAACTCCCCAGAGGCCTCTGTCCATTCCAAGGAAGCAAAGGTTAGCAGTCAGAGCCAAATCTGTCACAGCAGGGGACCCGCCCTGGCTGGGTCACCCCTGTCCTCCCAGTGCCCAGGGACTGAAGCTGCTCCAAGATTTCCCTGAGGTCAGCTGGTATCAGCCGCCTGGGCTGCCGCTCAGTGCGCCCTCATGTGGGATTCCTCACCACCATGCCACAGGCCTGAAGGGGTGGCCTATCACCCCTCCCTGAGTCACTCACCCCCTGCACCCAAGGGTGCTGCAGAACTTGGGCGGCACTCAGTCTCTGCTTTGCATCTCGAACCAGAAGCTTGGAGATGAGATCTTTGGCTTCCTTGGAGATATGTGCCCAGTCCTTGTCAGGAAACTCATACTTGCCTTCTTGGATGCTCTCAAACAGCTTGTTCTAGGTAAAGAAGATTCCTCCTGAGCCCCCCTGTGCCACTGGGCAGGTCACCCAAAGCCCAGCTGGCCTCCACCAACGCTGCAGCTCATGGCTTGGCTTCCCAGACACCCAGCCGCAAATTATGGCCCAAATCATCAAACCATACGCCATACCCATGGAGGGCAGCGGGCAGGCTACTGGAAAGTGAGTGAGGCGTTAGGACTCCCAACTAGAGAACAAAGCCCGCAGCCTTGGCTCTTCCTGCTGGGCCCACCGCAAAGGGCCTGGCCTCCTCCCAGGTCTCATCTCCCACCATGGACTTTATCCTGCTCTTCCTGCACACATCAGCTGTTGACGTCTCTATGTCTTTGCTGTTCCTTCTAGTATTACTTTTTTTTTAAGATTTATTTTTTTTTAAGTAGTAATTTTTCTTGTAATTCTCTCTCTCTTTTTTAAAGATTTATTTATTTATACTGGGATACAGGCCAGTGGCACAGGGGGCTAGAGGATTCACCAAGAGAGAGTGGGGAGCAGAACTGGCAGATCTACTGAAATATGCTGCTGAGGGAGCAGCAGGCGGGTCAGGAGAAGTCTGCTGCGCCATGTGGGTCACATCCCTGGCCAGGGATCAAACTCATGCTGAAGCAGCTGCCTCCAGCTGCCTCTAACTTTGTATGCTGTGCTTTAACCGGGTGCACCACAAGGGAGGGCCCCCTTCTTGTATTTCTCAGCTCTCCCTCCTGGGGCAAGACTCTCCTTTCTACTCTGCGCAGGCGTGCTCCTCCCTGGACAGATAGATGAGTGGAGGGCACGGTCACTGCAACTTTGTGGCTGTCCTCTGACAGCAAAGGGAAGTGGTACCCTAAACCCCTTCCAGATTAGGAACAATTCCCAGTCCTGTCTGGCACTGAACAACCTCACCCCTCCTGTCCTCTCCCCCCCAAGCAGCTCTATGCAGTAGGCCCAGGGGCTGCACTCACCTGGCACACCCGGCAGACCTCTCCCCGGTCCCAGCCACAGTCAGCCCCACAGTGGCCTACAAAGGGGGGGTAGCCACTCAGCATGATGTAGAGGACCACGCCCAGGCTCCACAGGTCACAGCGCTTGTCGTAAAAAGTAGCCTCATCCCTGAAGACTTCCACCACCTCAGGGGCCATGTATTCTGCAGAACCGCACTGTAGAGGTCAGGGTTGGGGAGGGGGAAATAACAGAGAAGAGTAAGGCTTAGTCACAGGGGAGGGTGTGGCAAAGAACAGAATGGAACAAGACTTGAACAAGGGAATGGCACTGCAGAGGAAGTTGTGGGAAGGCCAGTCGGAGGCTGCCTGTTGCCCCAAGGCACTCGGGGAAGTTGGGCTGGCGCAATATTGAGTCCTATGATTCCCCACAATTGGTGATCTTATCTTGTCCAGGCCTTCTCCAGCAGCGGAGACCCTGGGTCAGAAGCTCTAGGAGTCCGTCCCTGCCCCAGTTCTTGGTAAACAGAGGCTTACTGTTCAGGTACACCAGCACACCAGTGTATAGCTCTGGAGGGAGCTCTGCGGAGACCCGATTCCAGAAAGCAAGGTTTCTTAAAGTGAAGTTCTGCTAAGTTTCCCTGCTAGCTCAGAGCAAGAAAGCATATGAATTTCAATTTAAGAGACTGTCAAAGTGAGGGGAGTTCTCAGAACAAACCTAATCTCCCACTCTTCCCACTTAGCGATGGGGAACACGAAGGCCTGCCTACGATGGAACAGGGTTGGCCCAGGCACGTCAGTGGAAGAGCCAGGACCAGAACCCAGGACACTTTCCTTCCACCCTTGCAGATGAGAAAATTCAATCTTGTTGCTCACCAATTCCTTATTTCAGACTCACCAAGAGATAGTCTCCTCCCCCGACTCCCCAACTCATGTGATGGGAGGACGGAAAGTGGAGAAAAGACATTTTCTTTGTTACTGGCAATTAGAGTTAATAACTGAGAACAACACAGCTCAGTATAAAAGCTGATACAGAAACATTTCTAATCATGTTGTTCAGAAGAAAACACAATATGGGCATATTTAAATGCATGCCTTAAGTAAAGGTTATTAGCAAAATTTATTTATGAAGCATACGAATCTCAAAGAATCGTAATTATAATATGTGGAGCATGTACATGAGATGTCTGTCTGAGCGTGAAGTATGAGCTCAAAGCTGTACCGGACTGGAGCAAAGGTAACTTAGCAGAGCCATCCTGCAGGCGTGGAGCCTGGGAACTCATTCTCACCACAGGACCACACGCTGGCCTCCACACAGGGGACACGCCACAAGTCTGGCCATGGAGAGGAGCTTGGAGCTGCCTGCATGCCCGGACGTGAAAGGCAGGCCTGGGAGCAGGGTCTGTCTTCACCTGGCCGGGAGTCAGAGCTCAGCTTGTTCTCAGAGGCAGTTTGGCTCATCATTGGCAGAAGACGTCCCCCCGTCTACAAGCTCTAATGTCAGTGTCACTAGCAATGAACCTCTTAGGGGGAAAGGTTTACCACATAAAGCAGTGAGTCAAATAACTCAGGTAGGAGGAAGAGATGAAGATTCACTTGATTTTCCTTTTCTAGCCCTCGGTTCTGGGCTCCATAGTTGGGTCAGGGCTGCTCTAAATGCACAAGAGCCCAGAAGAAAGCGGCCCCGCAGGCCCAGCTATACATACTGGGGTAGTCAGCTCGGGCGTGGTGATGGGGGTGCAGGAGTTGTTCAGTTTCACCCCACTACCCAAGTCAAAGTCACAGATCTTCACTGGAGACACCTGAAAAAGAAAACAGAAAACAAAGATTGCAAATAAAAGAAACAAAGATTGCTTAAGGAGCCCAGCATGACTCTGGGGCTCAGGGCTGCAAACTTATCTTGACTATAATCACCTGAGGGTTTATCCTAAGTCCTCCACATACATACCCTTTACTTCCTAAACTGTGCAAACTCATGGTGTCAGTCTGCTGTGAATTTAGTGTGAAACGCTGCGAACTTATGGAAGCTTGCTCACCAACAACTCATAAGTCAGAGAAATTAATACATATTCCTGGAGGTGCATGCCTAGCCCATTTGCAGAAGCAAGAGAACCTGAGTAAAAGCCCTGACCATCTCAGGTGGCTTAGTGTGACCGACTCATTCTGGCTTGTCTGCTTGCATTTTGTGGGTTTAAGCACGGAGAGTCCTGTGGTCCAGGAAGCCCCTTGGTCACAGGCAACCTGGGATGGCGGCTCAGCCAAGGTGACATCAACCCAGCAGAAGCCCCCCAGAACTGGCTGTGTGCTGCCTGCAGACAGCAAGATTCACCTCTGGAGCCAACAGGAGGGCAGTTTGTGCTCACAGTGAGTCAAACATGCCGGTTCTGTGAGTCCCAGCTTAGCCATTTACCTGCTGGGGAAGCCTGCACAAGTCTTTCAATTACTCTTTCTTCCCTTCCTCCCTCCTCTCCTCCTTACTCTTTCTGACATTCTTTCTCTTTTTTTACACCTAGCTTCTCTTTAAAATAAAATTTGGCAAAATATCAATATACATAACATAAAATACACTCTATCTTCACCATTTGTGGTGTACAACTCAGTGGCACTGATTACAATCACACTATTGTATAACTCTTACCACTGCCTGTTTCCAAAACTTTCTATCACTCCAGATAGAAACCCCGTATCCCTGAAGCAACAACCACCCCCCCCACCCCAGCCCCAGTAACATCTAATCAACTTTCCACCTCTATAAATGTGCCTGTTCCAGAGATTTCATACAACATTTGTCCTTCTGTGTGGGGCTTTTTTTCACATAGCACACTGTTTTCAAGGTTCATCCATATTGTAGCTTGTAGCAGAACTTCATTTTGTTTTATGGCTGAATAATGTTCCATTGTGTGGTTCCACCACATTTTGTTTATCCATTCATCTGTTGATGGACATGGGTTATTTCTAGCCTTTGGCTATTGTGATTCACGTTGCAGTGAACACTGGTGTTTAAGTCTGTTTTCAAGTCTTCTGGGTATATACACAGGTGTGGGATTGCTCAGTGACATAGAATACTGCGTTTATTTTTTTTGAGGAATTGCCAGCATATCTCCATAGCCGTTGCACCATTTTATGTTCCCACCAGCGATGTACAAAGGTTCTAATTTCTCCACATCCTTATTAACACTTATTATTTTGTTTTTCTAATTAAAATCAATCTAGTAGGTATGAAGTGGTATCTCATTGTGGTTTTGATTTGCATTTCCCTAATGACTAAGGATGTCAAACATCTTTTCATATGATTGTCATTTGGGTATCTTCTGAAGAAATGTTTATTCAAGTCCTTTGTTTTTTTATTATTATTTTAAAGATTTATTTATTTATGCATACAAGAACTGGGGTACAGGCCAGAGATGGGGTGGGTGAGAGGATTCATCAGACACAGAGTGGGGAGCAGAATAGGCAGATCAACGAAGTACATTGCTGAGAGGAGCAGTGGGTGGGTCAGGAGAGGTCTGCTGCACCATGTGGGTCACCACTAGGGCAGGCATTGAACTCGCAGTGAAACGGCCACGACTTGGCTTATCTTTGTAGTGCAGCCCTCCAACACGCTCACCACCAGGGCGGGCCGGGACTGCCTTAGTTTTAATATTTTTCTACAACTGGCCAGTTGAGTGACTTCAGAAACATTTCTTAACCCACGTGAACTTCAGTTTCCTCATCCATAAGAGGAAGGTGATAAGCATAACACTGAAGGTGACCCACATGGCGCAGCAGACCTCTCCTGACCCGCCCGCTGCTCCCCTCAGCAGTGTACTTCATCCATCTGCCTGTTCTGCTCCTCACGCTGACTCTGGTGAATCCTCTCACTGCCCCTACTTCTCTGGCCTGTACCCCAGTTCTGTATGCATAAATAAATAAATCTTTTAAAAAATAAAGATGTTATTGAGGCATATGTCATGTAGTGTTTTGCCCACCTTTTCTTCTAGACATTTTATGGTTTCGGGCCTTATGTCTAGGTCTTCAATCCACTTCGAGTTGGCTTGTGTGCATGGTGCGAGGTAGTAGTCTAGCTTCAGTTTTTTGTACACAGCAGCCCAGTTTTCCCAGCACCATTTATCGAGCACTTTCTTTGTTCCATTGCATATTCTTTGCTCCTTTGTCAAAGATTATCTGTCCATAAATATGTGGGTTTATATCTGGGTTTCAAAAAAGATAAACTTATGCCATTTGAAGCAACATAGATGAAGCTGGAAGGGATTATGCTCAGTGAAATAAATCAAAAGGAAAAAAATCAGATGGTTTCACTTATAGGAGGAACATAGGGAAACCATACAAGGGATTGGAAAAATAAAAAGACAAAACTAGCAGGGAAACTATAGATTAAGGCATTCATCAGGCTAGGGGCATCAGGAAAAGGCAAAGGAGAGGGGAAAAACAGGAGGGAGGAGCACAAGACTCTATAGTGAGGGCTCACAGTGCCTTGGTGGTGGGAATTCTATGGGGACAACACCTGAGAGGAAAAATCAAACATGAACAATGATGTAAAAATAAATAAATAAACATGGCAAAAAAAGTGTTTTCTTATGAATAGGTCACTTTGAAAACAAGCTCTTCCTAAGAACCTGCTTCCTAATTATTACTTCTGGTGGTGGACACCATCTGGCACATATACCACAACAAAAACATCATTTATAGGCAGAGATTTGTTTTCTATAAGGTTGAGTTATTGTTTGTGACTCACATCAACTGCTCTAGGTAAGAAAGGGAACCAGACAAGCTTTGGGGACTTGATCCTCTGAATATTCAGGGAGTGGGACTAGAAAACATGCATTTTATGAGGGTCTCCTACATTTTAGAAACTCTCCCACTTAAGCCCATCACGCTGCTGCTAAAGAGCAGAGGAGGGACAAGGATTAGCCCTACTCGGAATGTAGAAACACTATACATCAGACATAATGTTCCCATGTATTATTCCCATATTGTTCAGTCAAGTTGGTCACTGAGGCTAAGAACTGCTCATGGCCTAACACTGAAAGCAGAGGCGGCTTCCCTGCATTGGTGTAAACTGTAACATCCCAAATCAGGCCCCATGTACCTTTTCTGGAGATTCACATAATATATTTTCTGGCTTCAGATCACGGTGAGCAATGCCTGAGAGGAAAAAAGAGCAAAGAAATGGTTAACATATGCACATAATTATCAAACATTCCACACACAATTAATTTTTTCCAAATGCTGTTGTTCGCAGATTAATTCCCAATTATGGTACATTAAAAAATCAACGAGCTGCAGGAGGCAGAAGGAACCAGAGACACAAACCAAAAGCATAGTTGATTCTGCAAGTTCTTGAAGCAGAAGCTTTAGAAGTCTGGCAGGGATAAGAAGGCTAAATGAATCCCAGCCAGTCTACCTTTCAGGAATGACAATGAAGAACAAGAAAGCCTAATACGATGACAGAGCAAAGAGCTCTGCAAATAGCAATGCTTGGAACAGCAATGCAGAAATAATTAGTGCCTTGTTTGAGAGCATCTCAGGGGGCTGAGGCTGCTCTACCTCATTTCTTCTTGTGTGGCCGATTTAAAAAAAGATGCCTTCAGTGGGACTCCCTGAATGTTCAGAGGATCAAGTCCCCAACGCGTGTCTGATTCCCGTTCTCACCTGCTCTGCAAGACCAGGACATTCCTGCCAGAGCTCAGCAAGGACTTTTTTGCCCTGACAGTGCTGCTCTTAAGAGAGGCCTCTTCTGGTTTTGGCCAGATCTCTGAAGGAGCCTGCCAACAGCAGCTTACCTTCTGAGGTGTCTAAAGGCTGCTGACCTGGCTAAGAAGGCACTTGGGGTAAATTCACTTTCTAGACCAAGACAGGGAAATAGAACCAACTCATAGGGTCATTCATGGTGATCCCCTGGCAGACACAGGGACTCATAGGGTCATGGCAATCCACTGGCAGACACAGGGACTCATAGGGTCATGGCGATCCCCTGGCAGACATAGGAACCGCCAATTCCTTTTTCCTCCTGCAGAATGTACATCTCAGAGACAGCAGGGCTGGAAGACTGAGTAAAAGTCAAACAGCTACTGCCGGCGAGCAGTAAGGGTTTCTTGGGCTAACAGGAAAAGCAGTCTGTTTTATGAAAACTCCCTTGATCAACTTCTCAGGCAGCCCTCCCATCCCCTACAAGAGGCAGAGGTCCAGTCCACCTGAGGCACTTCACTAGAGAGGAAAACCTGAGCTCCAGCAGCTAAGTAACTTCATCAGTCACCTAATTGAATGAGAACCCAGAGCAACTCAGCCCAGGCTGCACAAATTGAGTCAGGCTACAGCTCGCCGCACTAAAAGTGAAAGATATTTTCCATTACAGCAAGTGCTCCCACAGAAGGATCACGAGCCACACATGGCGCCTTACTCTCCAAATAGGTGCCGGTGGCCCAGTCGGCTCCAGCCGGAGAACTGAGAGCCACGCTGTAATAATGGGCCTGCCTCTGCGAGCACACCAGCCATCGAGCCCTTCTGGTTCATTTCCCAGAGGTTGAGCTGCAGTGTGTCCAGTATTTAAAAGTATGGAACTTGTTTCAGGGCTGACCCATTCTTGCCCAATTCATCTTCCCAGAGTGAAGTTATTTAGAAAACAGCCAAGTTCGGCTAGAAATCGTTTTTCATCCCCTCCAACTTCTAGTCACACGGGCAGCTGGCCAGCTAGATGTTAACAAGCACTTCAGAACTCCTAAGACACGACCAGCCTCATTCCCTTTAGTGCATTATTGTAAAAAAAAAAAAAAAAAAAAAACGCCTTTACCCCCCTCCAAGGTATGGATCTTGTAAAAAGTGTGACCCAGTTTTGCAATCTACAGAAGCAGCTTGGGGAGCAGTTGTAAATCTTTGTCAGGCAGGTGTTACCTACATGCATCCCAGCTTTCAGAAACAGAACTACTGCTATTCATCATGCTGTGGGAAGCAGGCACCCCCTTCTAGGAATTTTCATCCCATGTGCAAGTCAGGCCCCCAACATGGGCGCTGTCAGGACGGAGCTCTCTTTTCAGCCACTGGGGGACACAAGATGGAACCAGAGAACCTGAACCCCCTGCCGCATGCACCAGCCTGCACCGTGGGGCTGGCCCAGATGGGACGCATGGGCGGTCCTGAGCACACTCACCCAGGGTGGCTGCCAGTGTCCACAGCTGAGTAGGGGACAGAGCTCAGTTCCCCGTCCCTACCCCTACCAGGTAGGATGCTTTACTTTAAGGGAATTTATATAAGGAGTCAAAATGTTTTCTGCCTGGTGGGGAAGAGGGTGGGGGAGATGACGTTACTGAAGCACTACTATGTGGCGGGCACTCTGTGCCAGCCATGCTAACCACAGCCAATACCTGAGTAAGAGGCACACAAGGATAAACGGCTTAGACAGAGCCTCGCACATCACAAGGGTGTTGTGTGACCACATAAGTGTTAACTGTTGCTGATGATGTTACTATCGCTCTTAACTCTCATAACTATGGAGCAGGCATTATTATTCTTTTTAAATAATAGAATAGCTTATTTTTACATCATTTTGTGCATTTTTCCATCTCAGTTATAATCCCTGTGAGCTTCCCATTACCAAATCACCCTTATGCCATCACCATAGTTAAGTGTGCTCCCTCCCCACCCCCATTTTTGATCCCATTCCCCACTCCACCCCTGTAAAATGTCTCTGGTACATAGTTGTTCATTATTATTATTATTATTATTTTCTCCCCTTGTCCTTTATACTCTGGAATAGACATTATTCTCCAGAGCAGGCATTATGACTGAATAAGCACACAGCTGGTAAAAAGGTGAAGCCAGAATTCATTTTTTCCCTGGCACGGCTATTGGGTGAGTTAAAAAAAAAATGCACGGAACAGTCCGACATATTTATAAAAATGTAAATGTATCTAACTTGCAAAAAGATTTAATTTACCGTACAAATGCATATATAATCAGTTCTGGATAAGAGACTGCAAACCTAAGTGTAGCTCAAACAAGAGCAGCTTGCTAGCTAGCATCATGATGTCCAACAGACATCGCAAACTTTACCATGTGGGTAGAAAAATGCATTTACTACTTATTGTGAACAAGCTATGAAACTACATATATACCATCATGTCAATTTTGAGAAAGGAGATAAAGGTGAGTATTTTAAAAGGCTGGGAGGAATAACACCCAAGTAGTTCTGTTAGCAAAGTCCCATTATGCACAAGCTTACAGTCCTCACTTGGTAAGGAAAATGAGACAGGTGGATATGCACACATGCACCCATAGCTTGTTCAACACAAGCTTTATTCATTCTCCTACCTGACCTTTCTCCTGTATTTCTCCCCTGCTTATTAGCTCCATGTGTAGCCACCATCAACACCACCCTGCCCTTCCCTCTGTCTCATGGGTGATCTGCCAGCTGCACCAGTCCCTCCCCTGTGGGCCCCTGAAGCTGGCCAGCCCGACCCGCCCAGCAAGACAGAGGCTTGGCTCACCCTTGGTGTGCAGGAAGTCAAGGGCTGCAGCAACGTCCCGGACCACACGGCTGGCTTCTCGTTCATTGAAGTGCTTCTGCTTCTGGATGTGGGTTAGGATGGAGCCTGCAGAGCAGAGGGCACAGGAATGCCTCTTCTGGCTCTAGGCAGTATGACTTCTCGAGGCCAGGCATTCACAAGTTTGGGATGGGGCCTTAGATTATTCATCTCTAAGTGTCCAGCACCAAGTGTGGTACCTGGCACGGAAGTGGTACCAGCACAAAACTGTACTGAACAGATCTGGACTGCTATCTTCTGCTAGCTATCTGGTATCAGCTATGAAGAACACAGTAGGGAGAGAGAACAACTATTTGAATGACCAAATAATACAAATGTCACTGGGCCATATTTGAATTCTGAAATTAAAAAGAACTAAAAGTGAATCCATGTGGGGCTGGGGAATCCTAGGAACTTCTCCTCCTTTGCATCTGATCTTAGATGCACACAACAGAACAAATTTCAAAACTGAAACACGACAACCTCACTAAACATGTAAGAATCTAGAAAATGGGAAAAAGCTGTTTCTCCTCAACTTTCTCATATTATTGTTACTATGGTAACAATGGGTAACATTTATTGGATAGTTATTATGTGCTAAGTACTAAGTAATACTCTAAATAGATTATCTTATCTTTACAACTGTACAAAATACAGTTATCCTTATTTTATAGATGGAGAGCCTGAAGCCATGAATGGCTAAGCAACTTGCTCAAGAACACATACCAGTAAGCGGTGGCAAAAGGATTCAAGCTCATTAACTCTGGCCTCAGTGAAGATGCCCCCTCAGCAGGCCCTGATTGCTGGGGGTGGGGGGTGGGGTGGTAGTGGGGAGGAAGGTTGCCTTGAGCCAACCACAAGTGGGACTATATTCTAAGCGATAAGTGCCTAGATAACCCCAGTGGCATCTAACATTCAGACACATATTCACAACCCTACTGCCACTGTGTTGGGTGCAGGCAGACACAGGAGAGAACATATGGCTCATTCTGTGTGGCCTTTGCTCACTACTAGAAGTCAGGGTTCTTATCTTTGGATCCTAGAAATGGCACCCGCTTACTTATTGTCTCTGGTTCTTGACCTGGGAAGCAGATGAAAGATCTTTCATGTGCCATATTAAATAATCAAAGGCCCCAATGAACTAAGGAGCGCATGGGGGAAAATAGGCTCCTGGCTAGGTCTCAGGCTTGCTTGACTCTAGTGTGTCTCTCGTTTCCTGCATCCCCAATTGGTTTAAAAATGTTAAAGGCTAATGCCACTGTATTAGTGCCCACCTGAAACTATACAAAGGATTTCACATTATCTATCTTATTTCATCTTCACAGAGACCTAAGGAGGTAGGTGCTATAATTATCCTGTTACAGATAAGAACACTGTTTAGAAAGGCTACATACTTGCCCAAGGTCACACAGTTAGCTTTACTGGTTTCTAAAACATGCTCTCCACCAAGCCACTCTGCGGCCCTCCCTCCACTCAGTCTCAGACATTCTCCTTAATATTTACCTTGCAAACATGTCCTAGGGGTTGGGTGAGTAATGAGGAGGAAAGCAACTTTAATATCCCACCCCAGTGATTATGTATGTGGGGGTGACAGTAGAGGTGGTATGGGGAATGGTAGCTTTCCATCTGCAGGATGGAACAGTCGCAGGCTTCCTTTCTACTCTGTGTCCTAAACAATAGGACCCTCTTCTTCTCTGGTGAGCATTTCTGGAGTTCACAATGCACGCAGGAGCTTCTGGCCCATAATTAATTTAGTTAAATAGTGAACACACCACAACAATGGATTGATAAATTGATGACTAAATGTATTTCTGTATGAGCCCTGTTAAAATGAGAAGGTATTTGTAGAATGCCTACACAGGTGACATTCTAAGCTATGCAAAATGCTAATTATCATCCTTCCCTCCGGCCTCCCTTCTCCCAAATCAAGGGCAGTTTTAAGTCCTTCATCCTTTTTATTAGCTTGACTCGTTTTAGAAGTCTCTGGGATTCATGATGGATGATCTCCACCCTGGGTCTTAATCAGAAGTCCAAACACATACTCAACAGTAAATACCTCCTTGCAATTTCTCAAAGACCAAGTAAAACCTTGTATCATCTTCAAAGAACTCAATCAGCTCCAAAATGTTCCTTAAGTAGGAGAAAATAGGAGGAAGGGGAGAAACAGTATTAGATATTAAAGCTTAGAAATATGCAATGAAAATATACAACACCCTATAGCAGGGCAGAAAACAACCTGGAATCAAAATGCTTATTAAAGACCCGTGTTTGAGAAGTAGCCAGTGGTGTTAGCAAGATTCAGGTCACCTTATCTTTCCATAATGTTTGGTCTCTGGTGTTTTCACCAAGTCCGTGCTGTCAAACCCCAACCCTAAAACCCACTAGGTAGAGTTATAAAAAAGTCTCGGTCACATTAAACTGAATAAAATCTGCAGCCGACTGGAAGCAATTGCGGCTAATAACACTGAATAGTAGGTGTGTGTCCTGGAGGCAAGCAGCAAATAATTACTTGCCCTCCCTCTTGCCCATAAATCACGGGGCAGTATTTACATTGCCTGGAGAAAATGGAAACATCTGTCAAATAGACTTGGGGCCTAACGTGGGCACCGCTAGACCCTAACTGCTAAGCGCTGCTTAATGAAACAGCCGCGTTCTGGCCACCACAGCACTTGTGGCCTTCCCCCGTGAGCACTCTCTGTCTGCCTGAGCATTACTGTGCTCTGCCAACAAGGTCGTCTTGTAACTCAGTAGGGAAGTCACCAGCCTGGATATTGGAGGTGTTGGGGGCTTTTTTCTTTTAAAGAATGAAATAAACCAAGTAGAGTCTCTAATGCTGAACTCAGAAGCTGCAGGGTTGAAAATAAAAATCTGTCCCTCATAAAAAAATGCTGACCACTTTGGGAGACACCAGGCTTTTACTATTGTGAAGGCGTCCAAATAAGATGGCCAAAATGGCCTAATTTGAAAGAAGCTTGTAGAGGCACTGCCTGGAGTTAAATCAACAGCGGGGCCCCATCCTCCAAGCTTAATGACAAAGCCATCAATACCGGGCAGGGCCACTGGCTCCCTGCTGACCCTTCTGTGGAGGTAGAGGGAGCGGGAAGCAGAGTCTTAGAGGTGACCCTGATTTAAAGCCTCAGTGGGAGAGCCACTCATTTGGAGCTGGGGGTGAGCAGACTAAGAGGGGGCTAACACTACCTTGGCCCAGTTACTGGGCACAGGGTGTTACACACGATTTTCTGACTGCAGTAGCTGCACGTATGTAGATGTTCTAGGGACAGAAAACAGCAAATACTTTTAAAGGTTCTTATCATTGTCTCCTATTAGTTGAAAACAGTTCTAAAAGATTTCTACCAGGTAATACTTAGTCTCATTTCCAGAGGTACTTGAAAGAAAGAAAACCCCATTCTGCCTCCCAGACAGACACCAATTCAGATTCCTCGCTCTTCTAACTTGCCTGAATTGTTGATGCTTGCAGTGTCTCAGCCTAAAGAGTTTTTTTGCTGCTGCTGCTGCTGCTTTTTCCATCTCCCTCTCTCACACTGAAAGATGAAAGGAGCTATATGCATCGGGTGGGGGAAGAGTCAGAAATAACCTTTTCTGTGTCCAAGCGTCCCCTCAGAGAAGCACAAGTTACCCGACACTGTACTCACTCATTTCCTTGACACTGATAGAGGGTCTCCACCTCTCGAAATACCCTGCTTCGGCTGTGCCCTGCTTGTTTTTCGATGATCTGTGGGAAGAATAAAATCGGTCATACACACTCATCTGACCTCAAGTACCCCCCAGCAGGGGCCCTCTGGGAGAATACATGGCCAAATTCAGGCCAATCCAGCTGCAAACATAAGTCTGGACTAGGCCTGCGTGACATGGGGCACTGCGGCTCTCAGCAGAGCAGCAGACTGTCCTGAGGGCTTTCTGATCTGTTTACTCTGAAGGGCTACAGGGAAAACTCAGGATCAGATTATCTTGAAATTCCTTCCCAACACTGAGACTCTAGGATCTATCAGATGGATGCTGGTAGGGAAGACCTAGTAAGACCGAGAATTGGGCAGTCATGGGGAGAAGTAGCCTGTCTCTAGAGAGCTTTCATAGAACAGGAAAGACATGGACAGAACTTCTAATACCAAAGAATTGTCAAGTCAGGGTTCCGTGTTTGCCCAAAGAAGCCAGAGGGCAAGGAGCAAGGTTTTTCTCTCGTGATTCGACTTTGAAGAAAAGGCCTATCATTCATAAATGTATTCAGATCTTTGAAAGGCAATTTATATTTTTTAAATGTGGTTTTTACCATACTGAGGCATATTTTAAAAATTAATTATAATTTATACTAATCTGTTTCCAAAAAGGAATTGAGATTTATATATTCACATATATTTTATGTTTCTTATCATTTAATGGTATATATATATATATATATATATATACACACACACACACACACACAACATACACACACATATTTTTATCCTATGAAGCAACAACTTCAGCAAAAAGGAACACAGATCAACAGAAATGTTCTCCTTGTAAGTCCACAGCTAGGACTATGGCCACTTGGTTAAAAGTGCTTCTTTCAGGAGCTGAAATTTGGCTGTGCTTTGACCTGGTGGATTTGAAACAGCATGAGCTGTCCCCTTGGAGTCTAGTTCAGTGGTTTCCACTATGGTGGGCATCAGAATCACCCGGAGAACTTGGTGAAAATAGACTTCAAGCTCTACTGAGCGTCACCCCCACCTCTAAAATGAAGATAATAATACCCACCTTTCCACTGTTTCATGCAGTGGTTTTGAAGACGAAGATAAAGTGAACTGGTAAGAGCAGAAACATTTTACAGATTACAAAGTGCTATATTCGACAGCAAGAAACCTGGGTCTCTGGGCTGTTAGCGTTCCAGGTAATTCTGATACACATGAGAAGTTTAAAACTGCTCTGTATCTGGGACTCTCAAACTTCCGTGATTAACAGAATCATCCAGTGAGCTTGTTAAAATTCATATTCCGGGGCCCACCCCAGTTTCTGATTCAGTGGGTTTGGGATAGGGCCAGATTACTAGTATCTCTAATCCATCGCCAGGCGATGCTGCTGCTGCTGTACAGGGGCCCACCCTTCGAGAACCACTGCGGTAGCTCCACCCCTTCTTCCACGGGGAGTTCGCAGATGTGAACACAGAGGGGCCAAGTGGGCCACTCCACGCCGTGCAGCCAGAAGCTGACCCCAGCTGGGTGCTGAGTCCTCATTATCTCAGTTCTATACATCATTTGTATAACACTTTGTAATCTGTAAAATGCTTCCACTTTATCTTCATCTACAAAAGCACTGCATGAAACAGGGAAGGTGGGTATTATCTTCATTTTAGAGATGTGGGAACTAAGGCTCAAGTCAGTGATTGCCCAAAGTAGTTTGTCCAAACACACATTCAGGTAGGCGTTCTAATGCCAAATCTGGTTGTCTAGTCCCTGAAGCTGACTTCCCAGAATAATAAACTGCAGCTTACCCTGAGCCAGGTATTTTATACATATTAACTTATTTAAAACCCACAAAAATACTATCTAGGGACTATTATGCCTGTTTTACAGATGAGGAAACTCAAGGACAGAGAGATTAAATACATTAACTTGTCCAATGTTACACAGTAAATAAATACAGAAACCAAGATTTGAACTCAGTGAATGTAGCTTTGAAATGCTCATTCTTTTTTTATAATTCACGTTCTTCTTTTTTAAAAATTTTAATATAATAGTTTATTTTTACATAATTTCGTGCCTTTTCCCATCTCAGTTGTAATCCCCGTGGGCTTCCCATCAAGTCACCCGTGTGCCATCACCATAGTACAGTGTACTTCCCTCTCCCCCATTTTTGATCCCATTCCCCACTCCACCTCCGTAAAATGTCTCTGCTATATAGTTGTTCTTTATTATTATCTCCTCCCCCGCCCTGAGTCCTTTATGGAACACTCATTTTTTTTGCCACTGTATTAAGAAATACTAAATCTATCTGGTTTAGGATGAGCTAGGACTGATCATTTTCAAAGTGAAGCCTGGAGTCCAGATGAGACACTCACTTTGACAGCATATTCTTTGCCATTCTGCAGGCTCACTGCACCTTGGACTTTGGCATAGGCTCCCTCTCCAAGCAATTCGGAGGTCAGCGTGTACACATCTGGAGTCAAAACGGATGAGAGGGATAACAAGGTGAGTCACCCCTTTGCAAGCTAAGACAGAAAGAGTTTCTGTCACTCAGCTTCCCCTGGCTGACAGCACAGGCACAAGGCCTCTTAGAAGGAAGGCCACCAGCTCCCGCAGCCCATCTCAGAACCCTGCTTTTCAACAACCAGACCACAGGGTCTGGTTCCTCATTTTAGAAACAAGGCCCATGGAAGGGTTTCAACTTGGCACACACATCCCGAGCACTTACCATGTGCCAGACTGCAGGGCAGCCTCATACTAGGGACAGAATGAGAAATAAAGCACAGTCCTACCTTTGAGGGTCACAGTTCAGTGGGGGAAGACAGATACATATACAGGTGACCCCAGAATAAACCAGGCTGGGGTAGTACTACCACAGAGGGATAAGACACAGTACAAACAGCAAGGGGTGGGAGAGGTTACATCTCTTCATGGAACCTGGGGGATCATGATAGGATATGATTAGTTGAGCTCTGTACCAGGCATTGGTGACATAGTGGGGACAAAGCACCATTTATTTTTTGGCACATTCAAATGAGGCCACTGGAGATTTTAAAGAAGTTTCTAGAAATCAACCACAGGAAACAAGAGATGGAAGATACAAACAGTAGCTTTGAGGTTTTTAGGGTATTGAGTCAGAGAGGTTTTAACAGAGTACTTGGTCTGGGTTGAAAGAACACTGACGTGACCTGTCCAGCCCACAAACAACATGAGCTCTTTGAGTCCCCCCCAAAGGCAGTCACATTTCCACGTGGCCTCGACTGAGCTGACCTCCTTCTCCTCTGGCCTCCATTCTTTAGTGTTTTTCTGTTGAGGTGGTCTAGCTTTTAAACCTACAGACTGAGCAGAGTGCTTTCTAACCATGACATTAGATTTTATCACTCTTTGTCATAAGAAATCCTATAATCGCACAAGTTCTCCTCAAGTAACAGGAAATAAATACTCTCATGTTTATCAAAAAAGAAAGTCCTGTACCTTTGGCCTCTGTACAACTCTTTTTCTCTCTCCCTGCTCCAACTACACTATTTAAATGAAAGACAGAAAGACAAGCAAACGCTGCACTAACTACCTTCTTGGCTCCATCAGTTGGGTCTTGCAGCTGTTTAAAAGAACATAACAACTGTTTGTGAAGCATTTTAAATCGCATGCTCCTCTCACCAATGCAGTATTAGCCTTTGATACTAGTCTTTTACATGGCAGGATAGATTGGTGGTTGGAGGTTCCATATTCCTGGCTCCTAAGAGGTTTGTTATTAGAGTAACTGTACAAAAGAATCCACTCATGGCTGGGGAGTGAAGGGATTTAGGAACTTTACAAGACATACCTTTACAGTGGGGCAGTCACCAGCTAGTCATCCCCCCCAGGCAGTCCTTATCCCGACAGGGTAAAACTGTGGATGATGTGTGAACCTGACCTTGGGAGACAGGTGCTACTGTATTGGAGGAATGACTGGTGGCTTGCTTTTAGACTTAGAAGTATTTGTCTAACTAGGTCTGCATCACCTGAGAAGGCATCCACCCACTAAACCTTAGGGCCACCCACCAGGTGCTTCCCAATTCTGAGCTGTAACATTCCCTCTTGGCGTTTGTGTTTTCCTATCATCTACCTTTCTTGGGGATCTGTTTCCACCTGTTCTTCTCTGACCACACCTGGGGGCACTAAAGGCCCTGCCTCACTGTGCAGGAAGCAACACAACCCGCCTGCAAGGGAAGGGTCCTTTCTGCCAGTAACGGAGAATGAGGCTCCTCCCCCAACTACCACGTTGTGTCCAGTACCTCTCTATCTTATTTTAAGCCCTGACTGCTCTCTTCAGTTTCATACTGCAATGTCTACATGCCAGACATCCATTCTTTACACTCCACTTTTTGCTCCCTAAGCAAACAGGTAGCATAGCTTCTTTCCAGTGACTTGTGCACATTCCTCCCCATGCACTGGCCTCACCAGGGTGAGGGGAAGATGGAAGATAAGAGAAGGTGGCTATTCCTTGACTCAACTGTAAGGGCCCCTGTATGTCCACTCTTGTGTCCTCCACTTCTGACATGAAGCCAAAGACACACAAAAATAAACATTTACTGAGTGAATGCAGAAACCAACTGACCAACCCAATCAATTCATTAGTGAATCTGCAGAAGAGGGACTACGAAGGGAAGTGATTTCAGGTCTCACAATTGAAAAGAAAAAGAGATGAAGGGGATGTCACATCTAGGAGATGAAGGGGATGTCACAGCAGTGCTCAGCGGGAGTGGGTGGTGATTCCCTCACCTATTAGTCCAGCATCAGACCACCACTGAGTCTGATGCCTCCCACAAAGAGTGTTCAAAATGATTGCTAACCCAACATATTGTCCCCCCTAACATGACATATACTCTAAAATACTCTAACTCACACAGTACAAGTAGCTATAATCTCTAAGAGCCAAATCCTGATTATAGGAGACTGAAATTTCACTGCATCATAGCCCACACTCTCCTCCTCTTATAAGCTTTCAGCAGGTCCTCCAGGAAGAGTTGAGGAAGGAGCACTTCATGTTCAAATTTGATAGACTGGTCTTACTGTCCCTGATGAAGTGCTTGGACCGCTCCAAGGAGGCCTGTGTGTCACCTGAGAGCTTCCCCACATTTGTTCTCCCTCTGCCACTCCCTCATGTGGACACTCTGGCCCCTGTCACACAGATAACCATGAGCTGGCTCTGACAGGGTGCACTCAGTGTTCTAGACCCACTGGTTACCAGGGTACTCCTCTCACACCTGGGGAGTCACTGGCTCAGACCTAAGAAGTTGTGTGACCAACCTTCAAACTTTCCTGGCAAGGAGTCAGTGGCCCGGGCTTTCCTTTTCTTCTTTTTCCGCTTGTCGCTGTCTGTAATGGGGAGAGGTTCACTGCTGCCCATCTCTGGGAGAAAAGAGGAGATGTAAGGGAAATAGAATGGCCCTGCTCATGCTATAGATTCACCCAGAAGGGGAGAAGAATGTGTGTGTGTGGGAGGGAGGGGGTTGGAGAGAGTAGGGAGGAGTTTATGCTGATGGTTTTTAAATATCTGCGAAGGGTATTGATTTGTTTTGACCCAGAGGCAAAACTAAAGGCAAAACCATTATAGAAGATCATTAACTGTGGGAAGAAAGTCAGAAAGACAGGGCAGATTAAAAGAAGATAGCAGAAGTCTGCTTTAATCAAGCTCATCAGCACATGGATTTAGCTCTGCCATTGATCAAACAGTGGTGCCCAAACAGAACCCCTGGTATCCAACATGAATCCATGGGCAGAATCCCACCTGTGACACCCTCCAGCTTCAGCACCAGAAAGGAGCCCCAGACAGCTAAGCAAAAGCTTACTGTACGTATCTATCTCCCTCACTGGCTGGAGCAGGGGCCACACAAATAAAACCAGATGCTCGGTAACATCCCTATCGATGTGCACAGGGAATCAAAAGACCTTCTGTGTAGGCTGTCTCTGGGAAGGCACAAGAGGGCAGGAGATGGGTTTGGCAATGGCTCTAAATTACTTTCTGTCTAGCAGTAGAGACTCGAGCACCTGTGGAGCCCAGAACATACTCTTCCCACCTCAGTTTCTTACATAAGAGGAGGAAGGTCAGGTCCTTTCAGAAGTCTGTAATTAACACATCTACACCAAACTGCCAGATGAAATCATATAGATAAAGATATAGATATATAGATATAGCAAAAACATTATCTCTCACTGCAAGCCGCTGCCTCCCCAGGTTAAAGGGTGGATTTGTGAGGCATACATTCAGACATCAGGCAGACTGGGCAGCAAAGGGTAGGGACAGAAAAAATAAGCAGGAGACTGAGAGTGGGAAAGAGAAAAAGAGGGATAATGGACCAGTGCCCAATCATAGTACTGTTTCTAAGACACTCTAGTAAGGGCTTTCCCCTGTTAAAGATAAATTACTTATAGAACATGTCATGCCCCTGATCCAGAGTGGAGCCTTAATACTCTTTGCCTGCAGTTAGAAATAATAAGATTTCTCTGAAGTCTCTGGGTCTAAATCCCCACCAGGGTGATTAAACCTTTACATCCTTCTAAAATAGAGGCACTCGAGTGCTGATGGGCATATGATGTGAGAGACTTTTAGACCAACCTTCAATAAACACAGGCTCTGGATTGTTGAATTTTTTTTTTCTGAGATTTTGAAATGGAAGCTGGCTCTTTGCCCATTGAGGGGAAAGGCCCACTCTCTTCTCAGAGGACCTCAGCTGAACACGATCAGAGAAATGGCAAGTCTGCTCAGGAAGATTGATTAGAGCTGGTGCACGTCTATACACTGTTCTCAGGAGCAAGCACACAACAGCCATCGGGAGAAAGCACACAGGCCGGGACTTTTCAACACCACAATCCAAAACGCGTGGTAGGCAGCCAAGTGTCTGACAGCTCAATTTAGGTGTTCTTTCCTTCCAATTCTTTTTTTCCACTTTGGGTAGCTGGTGACAGCAGGTTTTCATTTATACTTTAGAGAACAGATAAACACAGAGATAAAAGGAACCCACAGAGGATTGCTAAATGTTACATTGTCAACAGCTTCAAGCACAAGATACGTCTGGGGACTGCAACTCATTATAAATTAAAAAAATTAAACTTAAATACTGACACCCAAATATCCATGCTGACCAAAGGTAAAGGCAAAGCTGTCCAACATAGGGAGGAGTGTACAGAAACAAAACATGTCCCTCATCTTCAGGAGTGTGGGGAGGGGCACTGGCCATGGGGACGGCAGGCCGAGAAGGGGGGGGCCACTGTCCTCTCGCCTTGCCCTTGTATGAGTCTGTGTCAACACTTGTCCCCATCTATTTTCTCAACAGCCCTGGGAGCCAAGTGCAGAGAGGGCAGATTTTGGATTCACTTCCTGTTCTCCTTTTCCTGCCCATACGCTGATGGAGAACCTAAGGACAAGCAGAACAGCCAAAGGCTGGCAGTGCAGAGAAGCGGCAAGAGGGCTGGCGGCATTATATTTCACAGGGGATGCTCAGACATACTTACGATTGGAGCTAGAAAACCTGTTAGCGGCAATTTATGCTTGGTTTTTACTGCAGCAGGACTGAGGGAGCCTCTTGTGGAAGAAGCATACCTTTGAGCACCGCCACACATTCAACATTAGATTTTATGACTTCACATACAAAAAGACAGAGTACCTGGTCTATTCTGCATGGATTTCATGGAAGAGGGTACGCCAGAAGGGACAAATGGTTAAGACTTTCCTTGGAAACAGAATTTGTTGAAGGAAGACTTGTATTTGAAACTAGGAGAAAAAAAATGTAGGAAGATGGTAAAATGAAATCAACATGCTTAACTTCCCTTTCTACACAGTGGTGGGGAGCAGTGGATAGTTCCCCATCTGGAGTCTGTCCACATGCTCTATCTTAACACAGTCTGCTAGCAGGGTCCGTGGGACCTTAATTCATTATGCTGCAATCATTTGATAAATGGGTTTTCAGGATGCAAGTTCTCCACACCAAGCTGGCTCTTCACTTACATACTTGACTTGGCCTAGAACTTTTCAGTCATCAAAACCCAGCTCATAAGCCTCCTCCCCTATGAAGCTCCCTGGTAATCCCAGATGAATTAAGGTTTGTGTAAACATTTTGAAAATCAATTAGGTGCTATGTAAAGGGATGGTGTTAGTGTACAGAACTAATCCTCTACTCCTAAACACGCTGCTATAAGCTTTATTAGAGCACTAGCTTTTTAAAACTCAGCCTTGAACTTGCCCTAATGTTCCCAAAGGGCAGGACTGCCACCTGCTCATCTTCATCTCCTGTAAGTCATGCACACACGGCAGCAGCCATCAGAATATGTGCACTAAAGTGAAAACAATAGGAAATGATGCACTTACTCAATGCTGGGTGCACTGCATGTCACCCAGGTCTTTTAAGGACCAAGTGCACACACTGAAAGAAATGTGAATACACTTTTGCCCTGCAAAAAATGCAGAGTGAGTTATTTGGGTCTATGGATTTCCTAATAAACTTCCTCTCAAAAACAGTCGTATGATCCAGAAGGTTCTTAACTTTCTAGTCAGAAACCCTGCTAGAAGATTGGACAATGTGTCTGTTTCTTCAAAAGAGGAAATAAGCACTTCTTTTTAAGTTTTCAGACAGACCCTAGCTGGTGTGGAGGATCCCAGTACTCCCACTGCTTCAGCCCTGGCTTCCTCCTAGCTCCTGGGCCCACACTGAGGCCTGCATTTGCATAGACAAGTGGCTGTTTTGGTAGAGAGGAGCTTGGTGGCCACAGGAAAGGAACATGGGCTTGACCTCAGGAGGCTAAAGTGAAAGTCCTGGTTCACATACTTCCAGACAAAGGACCAAGGTCAATTTACTTTTCTTCTCAAAGTTTGTTTCCTTGCCTATTAGAGGAGGCTTAAAAATAACACCAGCTCTTTCCAGAAACCTTGTAAAGACCTAATGCTACATTTATTATAAATGTGCTGCAAAAAAACATGTACACAAAATGAACGCACAACTCAGTAGCAAGGCTATAGGAATGTGCAAAAATGTTGATACTAACACAATTCGAAGGCATGTATTGTATGCCAGGCACTGTGCTGGATATTTTATAAAACTTACCTCTAATTCTAACAGAAACCACCAAAGATAAATATTTTACTATATTTGGTGAGGACAACAGAGGCTCAGAATTTAAATAACCTATTAAATACCGAACATCTCTTAGTGTTTTAACCGGGGTGCAAACTGAATTCTGCTCTTTCAAGTCCAGGTCATTTCTGATCAATAGTTTTCTCTATGCGACGAGTGGTCTTTATATTTGTAATATTCTCCAAATTGTATGCAACTGAATTGATTCCTTTCATTATGCTATTATAATTTTAGTTGTTTTATTTTCAATAAAATATACCATATTTTTTTCTCTAATGCACACTAACTACACAGTTCTTAATATCATATCCTGATTTCTTTATTGTGAAATTCGACATTCGGTGAAGAGAAAACATTTTAGGAACATTGGTGACTTGAAGAAAATATTTTTACAATCCTGAAAAAGAACAGATGCTATTTTTATCTTTTTTTAATACCATTTTTTAAAAGGGAAATACTCTGTAAAACAAAATAACTCAATGCAATACTGAATATTCAAACTTCAGAAATGCCAGTTTTAAATACTGGCTTTCTACCACTATGTGAGTTTTGGCAAGTTGCTTAGCTCCGCTAAATATTATATACAAAATGAGGTTAGCACAAAGCTTGAACTGTCTACATCACGAGGACCAAATAAGAAACCAGAGTGAAAGGACTGAGGACTTATTAATTCAGTAAATGCTGTATTTACCGGACACCTACTGACTGTCTGGTGCTAGGCAGTGAAAACAGAAGTCACAGTCTCTGCCATATGGAGCTGAAATCCACAGGGGTGCACAGGTACTGTGGAGCAGAAGAGAGGCATGTAACCGCTTGGTAACTAGAGGAAGGGACAGCTCTGCTGACAAAGGATGAGTGGGAACTGGCCAGGATGGGGCCTGGGAGAGAAACTGAGGAAGAGCATGTGCTAAGGCCTGGAGGAGAGGCTGGCATGGCTGGTTAGCCCCTGAAAACCCAAATCAGTGGACGCGGTGAGCAGGGGCTGATTGTAAGCAGGCACACCATTATAGTATTACCACTGTCACCAACAGTAAATATTTCTACCTCTCCACATATGTTATCTTATTTTCTCTGCTAAAATAAGAACAGGAATGCATATTCTTCTCTTTTTGGAAAAATGTTAGCCAACAAATATTGATTGTACTGCAAGTACAAAAGGTGTGAAAGATACAGATTCAAGAACCAACTTTGCTCCTGCATGGGAAGAGGAACTTACTGGGTAGATGAGGAGGGCCAAGGACTCTCAATTGTTGGTTACAGCAGCAATAGCTATTCCAGACAGGTAAGTACCTGCTTACTCTTTTCCCTACAAGGCCTGTTTTCTGAAAGAACAGCAGCATTTTCCCATAAAGTCTTAGGGGCTACACTACCTCTAAGGTTGCCAGATCTTTTCTCCATATTCTGGTAGAGGTCTAGCCAGCTCCTACATCTGATATATGATATCAGACTATCATTTTTCCCTAGAACATGACTTGCTGGCTAATCAGCTCTGCTAACTTAGCTCACACTCCTCTTTCAACCGTTCTAGAGTTGTCTTCAAAGCCTACCATATAGTCCTCTTCCCAGCTTGTATGAGTTATTTCCCCCAGGCACAAGAAATTTCTAGAGAAGGAATAGTAGTGAAGCCAAGATGAATATAATGATGGATTCAGTTGCCTCCTCAGTCATTAGCTGGTTGAGGGACCCAAAGCAAGTATAAAGCTGAGAAAATGAAAGAAAACTGAGGAAATGAAAGGAAGGGGAAGTGGACATTTTTGAAGAGACCAAGACTAAAAGATGTGAGCTAGAGAAGGCCCTGGGAAGACTGAGGTTAGGCCACTTACCTCTCTGAAGTAGTAGCAAGAGTAGTTCTAGTGTATACTATTATTACTAGTTAGAGGACACACACCACCTTTCATATAAACTAACAACTCTGAGGTAAGTATAATCATTACCCACGTTTTAAAGATGAATAAACTAAGGTACAAAGAGAGTAAGCAATTTGCCCAGGGTTACACAATTAGTAAGTAGCAGAGCAGGAATTTAAATCAAGATAGTCCAGCTCAGAATTCAAGTTTTTATTTATTGCACTCTTTAAATAAATACTAATGTTGAAAGCAGAAGGTGGTAACCAGAGTTAGCCAGGCACTGGAATACCTTTATTTAGAAATCGTAGCTTTCTTGTTGGTGAGTGCAATACTGATGACCTCACCTGGCTGAACAGTATCATTTTCTGTGTGTGCTATGATGTTAAAAAGGTTGTGCAGGGCTGCAATAGTGTACATAAACACCTGGGCATTGTCACCACATTAACATTATTTCATTAATCTAAAACCTAACCAGAAGTTTCTTCTTGTTCTGTGGTAGCTTTGTATTTGGGGTTTTGGCATACTATTTAGGAGGAACTGCAAACCAGTCCAACTACATTATTTCATGACAATTCTGGTATCACAGACATGGCTACAATGTTCTTCTGCCTTACATTTTGGCTGGTTGATATGGTTTCTGATGATATCATTACCATAGGGGACAAGGTCAAAGAAAAGATACTCACGCGGAAGCTTGTCAAACTTAATGTGTGATGGATAAAAGGAGCGAGCTGTAAAGTCAGCTCAATCAAAGGATGGTCTGTCTCTGATTCCAAGGGGCTAAGATAAGATGGTTCAAGTTCCTTCCTGAGATTTCTGTGTGTAGTGAGATTGGGTGGTAGCTGCGACTTGCAGTGTCTCACTCCAAAGTGAAAGCAGGTGGTCTAACTAAGGCCTGCCTAGGGGCCAGCAGTGTGGTGACCCAAACCGGCCTCCTCTAAGGCTTGGCTAGTAAGGGGTTGGCTAGTAAGAATCTTGGAAGCGGCCCTCCCTGGTGGCGCAGCTGGTTAAAGCACAGCACTGAGAAGCTAAGGCAATTTCAGTATGAGTTCAATCCCTGCCTGCCCCGGAGGTGACCACATGGCGCGGCAGACCTCTCCTGACCCGCCCGCTGCTCCCCTCAGCAGTGTACTTCATCCATCTTCCTGTTCTGCTCCCCACTCTGTCTCTGGTGAATCCTCTCACCCTCCGCATCTCTGGCCTTTACCCCAATTCTGTATGAATAAATAAATAAAACTTTTTTTTTTTTTTTAAAAGAATCTCAGAAGCCCATTGTCTCCCTGCATTTGCATTCTGGGATTACTAGTTCTGAAGCAGCCTTCACTGCCTTCCTTTGTAGAAGGAATGGCAAAGAGAAGGACATGGATAGAGTAAAGGGAGTGTGTAACTGGAAAATAGCAGCAGCAGCAGAGGTCTAGGTTTGTGTGAACAGTATAGTATAGAAACTAAAGAAGGCAGTCTGAAGTCAGATCACCCAAGATTATTAATGTGGCCTGCAAGGTTCTCCAATATTTGGTCCCCATCTACTTTCTAGTCTCACCAACCAACAGTCACTCATTCTCTCATGTAAAAATGAAAACAGTGGGAGTGCAGCTTGCAATTCAAGCAGTTGCACAAGTGCTTTTCCTTGAGACAACCACTTGCTTTAGTATGCGGAAGTGCTTCATAAGTACTTCCAGTTAGTCACACAGAATATAAAAAAGATAAGTACTCAAAGGTTGATATTCAATAAAATTTTTATAGGGTCCTTAAGGACATTCTTAAGTGAAATGGCATTTCTAGGGAAAAAAAACAACAAACCTTGAATGTGCAGCAATAAAGAACACAATGATGGCTAGCACAGTTCAGTGCTACTGCCCTGTTTTGTGATAAGGCACCAGCAGTTTACCCACTGTTGCTTTGAAGCAACAAATGACATCTCAGTACTATTGTGAAAATAGTTTTGACCTTGCAGATAGCATGAAAGGATTTCTAGACCCCCCAAAGTCTACAGAACACACTTGTAAACCACTGTTGCAGGCCATGGAGGAATTGGGTATTGCTGGAGTCATGCTTTAGGGCCAGCAAATTGGCAGTGAAGTGCAGAAAAAACTGGAAGGCTGGAGAGAGCTGTAGGGCTGAGTTAGGAAGGCAAAGGGGGCCTATAGCTGAGCAGGGATAGCAGGGAGAGAAAGGAAAAGAAAGGTGAGGGGTATTACAGAGTCACTGTGGCCAGAAGGAAGCCAGGGGGCACAACTGATTGAGTCCTGCCAAATGATGCGATGACGGAGAAATCCCTGACGGCTTGCCTCTTTGCAGGAAGGGATGGTGACTGAATCCTCTCGACACTCACTGATTAGTGGGGAGCTAGACAGAGTACAGGGCCCGAATATGTGATTATGAATATGTGTGTGCGCGCGTGAGTGTGTGTGTATGAATATGTAACCAAATATATAGATGGCTATTTATTAATCAGATGGTTAATACCTAAGAGCAGCAATACCATCAAAGAAGAAGAGAATTCAGGAAGGGGAGCTGGTTTGGGGAATGGGGAACAGGGGGAGTCACTGTGCCTTTAGGATGCTTCAGACAAAGATGGGTAACACAGCAGCAAAGTTGTAAGGAGACTCACAGATCAGGCATTTTTTGTACTTGCCAGGCTGACAAAACCTTAGGCTAGAGTGTTAGGCAGGGCACATCAAAATACCATTTATATATTAAAAGCTGGCCCTCCCTGGTGGCTCAGCAGGTTAAAGCACAGCACTGAGAATCTAAAGCCACTTCCGCATGAGTTCGATTCCCGCCTGCCCTGGAGGTGACCACATGGCGTGGCAGACCTCTCCTGACCCGCCTGCTGCTCCCCTCAACAGTGTACTTCGTTGATGTGCCTGTTCTGCTCCCCACTGTGTCTCTGGGGAAGCCTCTCGCCACCCCTGAGTCTCTGGCCTGTACCCCAGTTCTATATGCACAAATACATAAAAATAAATCTTAAAAAAATAAAATAAAATAAAAAAACCTGAAAAGATATACCTCAAACTATTATTACGATGGTTGCTTAGGGGGAATGAAATTGGCCGCAGGAGGTGGAGGTACAGAATTTTATTTTTCATACTTCCGTTGTATTTATTTTGTTATGATAATTTGTTCTACTTTGAAAAGTAAATAAATGCTTTACCTGTGGTCTTTCTTAATACCCTTTCTTCCTTTTTTCTCCTGGTAGAAATGTGCTCCTCTTTGCTGAGTGACTATGTCAGGGAGCCCAGAGAATCTGCCAAACTGAATACTGAAACCTCTGACCCACCCTTCCTCTGGAAATATCTGATCATTTCTTGACTTCAAGCAATTTAAAAGGTTAAGTAAAAGGTGCATTTAATCTTACCGATAGGGTTGTCAACTTTTGGGAAGTAAATCTTCTGTAAGTTTGAGATTCCACATGAAATAGTGCTGGTTGGGGCTGCTGTCTTCCAGCTAGAGGAAGTGTCTCAAAGGGCTCTGTGTGAAGCAGACATTCCTCAGTCTTTCACTGTTCTCTGTTTCATCATTATCCAGCATGAAAATCTTCCAAAAGCAGAAATAGAAAGGATATCAAAATAATGACTTGTTTAAAAGGACCAGAGAAAAGATCAACTTAAGTGCTGCCAAGCTTATACATTATCCAAGTTACATATAATATACATATATACATACATACATACATATATATAACAATCACAGATTTTCCCAGGCTCTTAAAAATCACATTTGAAAATGCTGACAACATGCATTTGGAGATCTAACAAGGGTCTGCATTAAAGGTTTTCAGATTCTGTCTCCTTTGTGGGATTATAGACCCCAAAAGTCATTAACTGGGCCCCAATGACAGATAAAAGCACCTCTGTTCACTGAGGAGTCTTATGCAGAAGGTAAGGTAAAAGCTGCCACTCCTGTTGTCCACTTTTAGAGATGAAGGAGTTCTGGCCCTCTCTCCTAGTGCCCAGATCCAGGTCTCATAGGCAGGAGATAACTGAGCCAGAAAGATAAAGTTCATGATGAGACTATGAACAGGAACAAGGTTTCATGCCCAAAGCATGATTACCGCTAGTTTTCCACCCAATGACTTAATATGCTTTATGTCCACTGCTTTTTTAGAACCTCTTGTCTCTAGCTATCACATGTCAAACTTAACTTGTCAATTTCTCTTCCAAATGAATATGTATGTCCCCTTTCCCAATGGAAAAGCTCTGAAAATGCACTTAACATCTGCACTGTGGCCCTTGTGCCAAGATTTCTAAAAAGGAATCTGGATGTGTTTCAGCATTAACTCAAGTCACGAGTTTCAAACTGTGCTTGTGCCCAGCCCCCCTCTACTGACTCCTTCTTCCTTTCTCTTCTTCTTGGTCAGATGATAGCAGCCACCCAGCCACAGAACCTTTAAATTATTCCCAATGTCTCTTTCTCCTCCAACCTCCTGAGCGCCAAATACTCATAAGGTCAGATTTTCCTTCAACCTGGAACACAGCTCTTTGAAACATAACACATATTCATCCTGTAAGACCCATCATCCATTACTGGAAGCCCCACAAGTCACAGAAGCAGTCTCTGACTCTCCTTTCTACTCTACCCAGCATTAGTCAAACCCACAGGATACTACTATGATAAACTGAAGCTGGCTACATACACGGACGTGTGGCTCTCCCACCACACCAGCAGCTTCCCAGAGGCAAGTACTTACCGTTTTCACTGTGTAATTTCCAGTATCTAATGTAGTATTGGTAACAAAGGTACCCCTGTTAATAACTAAACTACTTCAACTGCAAACTATTTCTTTATTATAAAGTAGAGAAGTTAGCATATAGAATGTAATCCTTCTTATTGTATTTTCATTTATTTTTATCCAAATAAATCATGCAGTCCCGTGGAAGTATGTCCAGGGCAGCTGAGGTTGTACTTCCTGTCCTTAAGGCCACAACACAACCTTGAACACTCTGAACTTTAACTTTTTGTCTTTGTCTTGCCACAGATTTAACCCCTTTGGTCCCTTCTTGTTGCCTGTCGTAGACGTTGGCAAATTTGTTCTGCCAAGAGCCAGAGTAAATACTTTAGGCTGTGTATGTGTCACATGGTCTCAATTTTGTCTCTGTAGGATGAAAACAGTCATAGACAATATGTAAAGGAAAAGTTGAGCCTATCTTTCAATAAATGTTATTTATGGATACTGAGTTTTCATGTCACACAATATTCATTCTATTTTGATCCTCTCCCCCACCAACTATCTAAAAATGTAAAAAATACTCTTAGCTTGCAGTCCATACAAAAACAGGCAATGAGCCAGATATGGCCTGTAGGCTACAGTTTTCCAACCAGCTCATGTGCCCTGGTCTCCAGCAACATTCCTCCTGCCCACTCCTATTCTTTTCCACCTCTGGAAGGCCCACAGCAAAAACAGCCCACATAACTACTCTATGGATTTTGTGTTGTTCTCACATTTGGAGTCACTCTAGGGCTGAAAACACAGAAAGCCCGTGGACTTTCACGTCATGAGGAACTACACTCCAATTCTGGCCTTACCATCTACTAGTGAGGTAGCCTTGGACATAATATTTAACTTCTCTGCGTGTTTGCTTCGGCAGCACATATACATGATATTTAACTTCTCTGCGCCTCCTTGGAGGCACTAACACATCACAGTGTTATTGTGAGAACTTAATGCTCTAATGTGAGTCAAGTTCACGGCACAATACCTGTCATTGAGTAGGCGCTCAATAAATAATAACTATTATCTTAATTTGGGATACGGCTTCCCATATCAACTGCGGCCGCAGAAAGCTACCCAGCTACTCTGTAAACCACCACTGGGAAGGTGGGAACACACTGATAGCAAAGTACAAAGGCAGAGAGACAGGATCAGATCTGCAGGTTTTCAGGTACATGACATGGGATTCCAAGTGCCTAGTCAGCCCTGCTTCCTGCTGCTACCACTCCAAAGTCTGCTGACCTCTTAACCTCTTCAGCAAGAACTTCTGATTCTCACACTGCTTAAATATTTCCTTACCAAATACACAGATGAGCCCTGGAGCCTCTCCTTGACTTTGCACCTCTTCTTGTTCTAGGGCTGGGAGAGGGTAGATGGGCCAGACTGAACAGAATGGTCTGTCCTGGATAGGCTGAGTGGCCAATTCTCACAATGCTTCATGATTTTTTTTTGCTCTGTAGGGAATGAAATTTTTCCAGAGCTCAGGAACTACACTTTCTATAGAAGCTTTAAGGTAAAACAAAACAACAGGTATATAAACAGGGAATCTGTTATAGTACTTTCAAAACAAAACATCGGTGGGAAACAGATAAGACTAAAGCTTGCAATATCTCTGTCCTTGGTCTGCAAAGGCAGATCTGCACCTGCCACTTCCTTACTCCAAAATCCCTAACAGCTGTTCACCACCACTGGAGTAACCGGCTCCTGTCCTCCACAGTTTTGCCCCCAGTCCACTCCTCTGTAGTGCCTCGCCCTGTAGCCCAGACAAAATGGACTGTTTATTTCTACCTACCAGCCCTAACAGTTTCCCACTTCCCACACTTGTGCATAATTCATTCATAGCACATAACATTTTAGTGCACGGTAGAAGCTAGGAGCAGGTAAGAGATGGCATGGGTAACCAAATGTTAAAGAATGAATGAAAACACCTGAAGTTGTCTTCCATTAAACTGTTTTAGTTGTACTCTTACTAGCAGGCTAAGCACAGTCTGGGTTATAGCCAAGAAGTTAAAAAAAAGAAGCATGACCAATGGGATCCAAGCAATGGAAAATAGGTTTCAAGAGTGTAGTAAAAGAAGCCAAGGCTGTTTAGCCTGGAGAAGAGAAGATGAGGCCTGACTCAATTCTGGCTTTCAGTACACAAAGGGTTCTCATGAGAAAGTCTTGATCTCATCCTCCCTTTATAATCAAAAGGAACTTCTCCATATTCATGGAAAATGGAACAAGAAGAAATTCTTATGTTAAGGTCAGAGGAGTTTATGTTGTCAAGAAAGAAGAACCAAAATTAGGCACCACTTTTCCAGAGATACTGCTATTGTACTTTTTGGCAAGTGAATTGGAGGGACCTTACACTTTTATTGAGTACTGCGCAAAAAGGAATAAATATGCTATTGTAGCTGTGTTCCTTTTCATTATGGAAAGAGGTATGTAAAAACCCAAGTCAGGTAAGATTTTCTCATCAGCCACTGATTTTTTGTACTGACCCTTTTCCTACAGGTACTTTCTGGCATGTCATGATGGGACGATTTAGTATTTCAAAGTTTGCTGATGAGGAAATACAAAGAAAGAGAAGGTGATCATATCAGGGTAAGACAGTATTGTTTCTATCAAAACAATACTTAACTGAATGTTAGAATTAATATTACTATTAAAGCTAAAACATTCACTGAACTCTTTTGTTCTAAGTGTTTAACATAAATTATCTCAATCTTCCTAACAATCCCACATGTAGCTAATGCTTGTTAGATGAAGAAGCTGAGACAGGAAGGTTAAAAGTTTTCCCAAGTCACACAGTGAGGGGACACAGAGCCAGGACTCAAGCTGAGCAGGCCAACTCTAGGGACCTCACACCGAACTACTGTCTCCCGCTAAAAGGGTAAGAGGCTGGAATCTAAACCCTGGTTGCACTGTATTCAGGTTCATATTCTTTTTTTTGTTTTTCTTTTCCCCAGGTTCATATTGTAAGTCATGTTCTTACACCATTCCATGGAAGAAACACCACATGACATAAATGAGATCTCGGAACCTGTATTATAGAAAAAGTATCTGAGATTGAGGACTCATAGATGATAACAAGCAGAGCCAGAACCTGATGCCAACCTCTTGATTCCAAGTGTAGGTAGTCCTCTTTCATTTATGATAGATTATCTGTGGAATTTAAGGGGAGAAAATAAAGGAATAGTATGAGCTAAATGGGTTACCTGCCCAGACATTTTCATAATAATCTGCTAATCTCACATTAGAACCTGTGCCTAAAAAGGGTGGCAACAGCCTCTGTAAACCAATTATAAGATTTCACTAGTTAGTGATGACAATGTGCTGATTTATGGTGCAAAAGGAGCTACCAAACACTCACATACTAAACCAAGAAGCGGACCAGACCAGGAAGCTCCCATATTACATCAGCAGTTCACAAGTTAGGCCTGGACTGGATGCCAACAGCCTCCTTACTAATGTGCCCATTCTGGGACATTCTTTGCTTCAGTCCAGAGTCCATTCTATAGCCAGAGTAAACAGTGTCCTAGTCATTTGGAGCCTTACTTATAACAGAAAGAACTCGGTCCTTGATCCCAACACTCAATTTGGACAGGGCCACTAGTATGCTAATAAGTTGTAATCATTTAATAGGTACCTGACCTGGGGCAAGTTTCTTTAGTCTTCCTAATGTCTGGTTTCTTAGTTTTAAAATTGAGGATAAATATCTCCTTATTACAAGATTATAAGGATTAAATAAATTATAGCGCACAAAGCATCTAATGTACTACAAGCCACAAAGCAGAGCAAACACTAGATAAATGTTATTTCTGTTCTCCACATCCCTCTCTACATTTTAACCACAATTAACATTTCAGCTTATTTTCCACCTCTCACCAACTACATCTGTTTTCCCAACTCTCTCACTCACTTCATTTCTACCTCAACACTACTCAAGTTGCAGCTTCTCACAGGACTGAACTTTCTCCAAGGTCCAGCAAAAATTCTCTACCTTCAAGAATCCTTCTCTAGACCCTCTTAGGTCATGTTGGGATTGATTTCTTTTCTCAAACTCCCACTTTGTTTACATTCTTTGCTACCTTTACTACAGTCAGTCTGATTTCAGTTATTTATGTACTTATCTATCTTGTCAACTACACTGGAGGGGGAAGGCTGAGATGACAACTACTTCTAGGGCAGGAAATGTGTGTTTTCCTCTTTGTATATAACAAGAGTTTTGTACATAACAAGAGTTCAGTTATGTGTTTGGTGAAGTTACTCTTTTCACCGTTGG